TTTTCCCCGTGTCCAGTTAATAGATGAGTAATTGTATTGTCTATCCTTACTGCTTTTAAAATTTTGTGTGCTTTTTTGATATCTGGTAAAAACTCCTTAGTAGTTACGATAGTTTCCAGGTAGGACAGCGTAGAGGTTGAACTGGCCATGTATATTATTAAAAATGGGGACAAATTTTCTCATTACTGACAATCCCTTCCCCGACACTATATTTATGTATAATATATACGTATTTCCAGACTTAGTATAACGTACTACGCACTAATCTAAGGTTTAAATATTTTTCTGCTTAGAACAAGCAATTTTATATTCAAACTAAATTGTAATAGAGTTGACATGGAACGAATTCCACTCTTAGGTGTGACATCATAGTATATTCATATTATTCAATTAAGTTTAAGGGTGAGAATAAAGGGTAGGAATGCCCATGTTGCTGTTTATCTTTAGAGGCAACAGTTTACCACTTTACAAATTGTTTGACATTTAAAAAAAAATAATCCAAGTTTGATAATCAGAGACCCGAGGAAGTACCTGAGTACTTAAGTACCTATTATCGATAACAAAATACAATCCATTTGTCACGTAACTATAAATGTGTTTTATTTACACAACTAAGTAGGTACTTTACTATTAGTAAGATCATTTTCCGCATTTAAATAAGATTTTTCCAAGTTAACTACATTCATAAATACGTATCTGTTTGTCTATTGTCTTTACACATATCTTCTATGTCCCATGCGCGAAGATTTTCTTACTTCATAATTTTTTTAGTGACATTAAAAAAAGTTCTCAATTTACCTTTTTTTTTTTATTTATTTGATATGTCCTGTGATCGCTAGAACTTTAAAATTGTGATGATTATTTTGTTTTCCTCGGTGTTCGTTTTATAATAATTAAGTACATACATGTACTTCGGTTCTGAACTCTTGATCTCGTCAGACAGTAAATATTTACGATTTATCTCACTCCCTGGTCATATAAATCGTACATCGTAATGGATAATTTTTATTATTCCGTAGTTTCGGGAAAATATGCCACACCTCATTTTTGCCCTTCTAGGCTAACTTTCTATCTTGCTTAGATAAAACGGATTTAAAAAAAAATTGGTAACAGAGGTTTGTATTCAATCAAGCTTTCACTGAAGGAATAATAGAATATTTTTTATCTTAATTCACACAGAAAAAGCCTGAAATATATCGCAACTATGAAACGGAATACAACATTTTTGTAACAAACCAACACATTAAGATCTTTGTTTTCATGTATCTACTTATAATTATTCGTACTTTACAAAGTGCAAGTGAGTTTTTCACATGTATATAAATATAGGTATAATGTAGCTTCCATTATGTATTACTCACTGTGTACATAAAACAGGAATTATATATTGACATTTTATTATCATAATCTTGAAGTGATTTTTATGTACAGTCTTGGTGGTGTAAAAATTTAACATGCTGTCTCATAATTAAATTGTTGCGGATTTGAATCTTGTAAATTGCATACATTTGGATTTATTAATATATTTATTTATTTCATTAACTGGATAAGCTTTTCAGTCTCCCAATATGCTCACCCAGGAAAGCATCAGTAAAGGAATACACATAATATTAAAGAGATTTATATTAAATAGAAATAACTTTAGAGCCTAAATTTCTGAACACAAACATTCTGCGGTCATCGGACTAATATTGGTCTAAGCATCTTCTATATTGATATGGAAGTATTTTATGTTTTAAAAATGCCAGAATAACAACTGTCACTCTTCATATAAGTAATATATAATTCCTTAAAACTCCTTGCGAACCTACTATACAGTCCAAAGAATAATCTGTGATATAAAATTAAAAATATTAACTTTTTTACGTAATCTAGAATCGCCCTTATATTTTTTACATTATATTTGTCAATTTTTTACATTAATTATTGTGTATATAAATCCTCTACAGTTCCCATGGTAAAGCTTTGCTTTATTTTGCTCTGGATGGTGCTATGTGATGAGGCATTTATTGATGGCATTTAAGAAATTGGTTTTATATTTCTCTTTATATTATGAGAATAAATTAATTTATCACTAAAGCTTCCCTGTAATTGCGCAAATACATAAAATCCACATTTTGTTATATTACATGATAATATAAAATAAATAGGTAACAGTACTGTTTTTTATTTATAAAGGTTTTATTAAAGAACATACTATATCAAGGTTTCATAAACACAGTAAACGATTACTAACATGCGGGTCATAGGAATGCATATTTAATTTGCAGTTAAAATATTAAAATAAGTTAATATGTCAAGTACATAAATAGATTAGGTATATCTATTCTGTAGAGTATACTTCTACTAAAGCCTATATGCCTACGGGTTTCGTGTTCTTCTCAGCATACTACAACATTCCGAATTCAGCAGTAGAATCACGAAAAATGATAATTTAGAAGAGCTTGCTAACAAGTCTAATTTGTGTTTTTTGTATGCTACATCCTTACTTATAAATATGAAAGAGAGTGTTTGCGCTTAAAGCTAAGCAGCTCTTGACCTAATAAAATGCTTGTCCGTGTCTCAATTTTTATAATGAATTAAATCGTGATAAATACACATGGAATTCAGCACGATGGTTTCCAGAGGGAACCGTGTGGTGGTCGACCTGATAGGATGCATTTCTGGGAATGGGTCCGTTAGACCCCATTACCAAACAATCCCTTTCCCCCCAATAATAATATATTAGGTTTCTCTAATATGGTATAGTAACATATTAATCCCGTATGATCCTGGCATAGAATAAGTCACTAGTGATTGTCGTAAGAGACGACTAAGGGAGGGCAAAGGATAGGCAAAAGCGTCTGTCTTAAAACATTTCCAAAACCTAACTGTGGTTGTCAATCCGCCTGCCAAGCATAGCAACTAGTGGCAACCTCCCCCCCTCCAGGAGGAGGCTTATGTTCAGCAGTGGACGGTTGAAGGCTGATATGATATGATGATGATGAATACGGTATACCAAGACCTACATACATAGGCAGGTAATTTAAAAAGTTATAATGTCTTCAAACAAGCTAAGGATTGTAATAAATCATATGCTACAACACAACGGGCTTTTCCCAGTACTTTCTTTATGTGGAGTTAATGTTTTCCTTATACGTGCATTAATACCGTTACTTCGCATCTTAAACGGTAAAACCATGGATCTTTAAAGACCAAACAAATAAGTAAGGAAGCTTTTTGGTGGTACATTAGGCTATAAACCTGAAACTATGTAAATAGTTATTCAGTATTGGTTATACTGAGTTCAAAAGAGCGATATTTTCAAATTTATTATTTTTTTAAGAGGTATTTGCTTTCCTGGAATGTTTATGAAGTACTTGCTCTACCTACCGTCATATAGTGCTGGCGTAGAATGGGTCCTCCTTTCCTTTGCTGTGGGTCTCGTAAGAGTCGAGGGATGAGCAGCAGCGTCCCTCTTTAAACATCACCAAAGCCTTATGTAACTGCTGTTGCCAACCAGCTTACTAAGCGTGGCAACTACTGGCAAAAACGCCCCAATAGGGGGAGGCCTATGTTCAGCAGTGGACAGTTAATGGCTGATATAATAATGATAATGACTTTTTTTAACAGAAATGTCCATTATTTGGAATATGCGGTACCACATAAATATTTAAATTCGGGACGGTACCTACAATATCCTCGGGACTACGTGATAGAGTGCAATTTTATTTCATTATAAGGAACTAGTTTAATCCTCTAATTTGCCTTTAAAAGGAAACAAACAAAGAAACTCACTTTCACATTTATTATTTATTTATTACATACTAAAAATAATTATTATACACTGCAGTTGTAAATGTTACCGTGCGTTCCGCTAAATAAATAATACTTTTAAATGTTGTTGTACAACCGACTGGAAAACGTATTTATTATTCAAAAATCCTAAGTAAATATTTCTGTATACTCAAAAATTTGATACTCATACGTACTCGTATCTTCATGTCGTAAATCTAAATACTTAAATAGTTAGACCTATTTAATGATACAAAAACAAGTTCCTGTAGTAAATTATAAATATAACAAATATTTATGACATCCATCTAACTAAGTAGATATTCAATTAAGGAATTTGTATCAACTATTATGTCATTAGATATTTTTAATGTTTACTATTTTTTTTATATATATTTCTTGTTGCACTCAAAATTCTATTTTAGAATCTGTCGTTCGACGCTAAGTTTAAAATAAGACCCTCGCCGTCAAAATATATATGAAAATATAATAATATAGAATAGGGGAGAAAAGGATTGTTGGTAATAGGGTCTAACTGACCTATTGCTAGCAATCCACCCTGTCAGGTCGACCTCCACGCGGTTCCCCCTGGAAACCATCGAGGTTAATTCTAGTAGAATTTGTCACGATAGGCTAACTGACCTACTTTCATTGTCACCTATCATCTTTCTCTGGTGCACCAATAGCGCAGGCGGACTTACCATTCCATCAACCATTAAAAAGAATATATAGAATATATTAGAGATAGGTATCTATCACGTTTTCCAGTTTTCTTTCTTGTTTATATTAATTACATATAAGAAGGTTATACAGAGTCGCTTACTTTTCAATTATAAAATCATTAACAAATCATGGAGAAATCAATTTTAATAAAATTGAATTCATTTATTCGTTTTATGAAAAAAGAAAGGTGCAACCCCTCTGATCATCTGTTTTGCATCGTCCATGTAGTTTGATGGTGGTGTTTAAATATAAACACAATATAAGTAGTTATTATATAGTTTAAAATAAAAAAAAAGATAGGTTCTATACCTTTTCAAATACAAATAGTAACACGTATAAATATAAACGAAGTCTATTATATAAATTTAAAAATAAAAGGAAATCTAATCGGAATTCTGACTCGAGAAACTCATTTTTAACACCAGATCTTCTGATTTAAAATTTACACTCTCAAAATCATATCAATTATGATGAATAATGATAAATAATACAATTGTTTCCAGACCTACGTGGGCAAGCTGGAGCCTATTGGTAGCAGTCAAATATTGCAAAATTACAACCGGGGCGCGCCCATCATGTACAGGATTCACTTCCCAGTGACGTCACCACTGCCGCGACTCACTTCGCTGCAAGTCAATGGCAACTTATTGTGTTACGGACCAGGAGGTAGGCCAATGAATATTTCTATCACTGTCTAATTGTAACTAAATTAGAGATAATTTTTAATATATTGAAATAGATTTTGAAAATATTTGATATTTTTAAAAGACAAATTAGAATTGCGAAAGTAATGTTGAACTATATTATGACTAATAGATACTTTGTAAAGACAATAATTATAGAATAATGTACTTGTGAATTAGGTAATAAGATGTTTAATATAAAAAAATAAATAAAAGAAAATATTGTATTTTTAAATAAATAAAATTTTGAATTTCATCACCACTAACGGGTAGATGCCAGAATTTTCGACTAGTCGATGAGCACCTAACCGTAGTAGTAGTTAATTTCTTAATTTCTGATTAATCTTTCATTAGTGCTCTGCCATTATGTAACATTTGGATAGACGAGGGCTTCACTTCATCTTTATCTATTAAAAAATTGTTACGTACTGAGGTAAAATTATTGCCTACCCTAAGGGGACCCACTGAAAATCAACGTTTAGCTCCTTGGCTGCGGCATAACACTGAGCAAGAACCATTTCAGTAAACATTACAGTATTTATTATTATTTTCCTCTGTATTAACCTTTTTTGTATGTATAACAATGTTTACTAAATGAACTGTTATTATTATTATGATACTGAAACTCTAGAAGTGTATTTTAATCCTATTGTAATTAGAGAGGGATAGGGGATTAATCCAAGCAAATACCTAAAGTGGCAAGAATGAGGGGCATCAAAATAAAAGGAGATTATTAAAAAAGGCAACAAATACTATTTTTCTCGCAGCAGCAAATGTGTTAGATAGAGTTCTATTAGTAGGTATCACTAATTTACAGTAACTACAATCAATCAAATTAAGAATCTCTTGTTCAATTTCGCAGAATAATTCGCAGTAGATACTTACCTGAACAAGTTCTCCGAAAAAGCATATTTTTTATTCCATTTAATTAAATTTAATTGATAGATATCTACTGTAGAATCGTAGATGGAGATATATATGTATATTTGTGTGCAGAATTCACAAAAAGCAAGTTCAGAGTATTTCTAAAGACTATGCATCCTTGAGACTATAAATAGTACCTATATACCTGCTACTTTATTTAAAAAAAAAAAACTAATACAGTACGATTCATAATAGTCATTATTTAAAAATAGATTCAAATAAGAAAAGTCATTTTTCATAAAACGATGACTCAGCATTCTTATATCTCTTCGTTTACATTTATTTCTATTTCGGTTACAGATGTCGTTGTTCCCAACCGGTACATAAGCACAATCAGTCTCCAGCACATAATATTCCAAAGGCCAAATTCTGGCAACTTCATATACCAATTCGATCCAGGGTCAAAACCGAATTCAGTATATGAATTTTCCAGTTCCCCTGAAGTGGGAGCTGATCCAATAATTGCATTCGACGAAAACGATGATCGCCGAGGAACTTGGACTTCTGGTAAGGAAAATAAACACGCTTAAATTAAAAAAAAAAATCGAATCCAAGATTCAATCAGCCCTAAATTGCAGTTTCAGCTGAAAAGAAATGAGCAATATGCATTTGTTGCTTTTTTATGTATGTAATTGCTATTATGTATTATATAGTTATGTGTTCGTTGTAGGCCCAAAAGTTTTTAATCTGACTTATTAATTCGCTTAATCAGAGAGTAGGTTATTTTCAAACTTTTTCTTATGATGACATGACAATGGAACCGTTTTAATGGCGACTGATTTGATTTCCTTTGCTCACTACGTCTTGTGCGTCCACTGTTAAAGAAAAAAATTCACCGATTTTTTATTATAGTAAATAAATAATAAAGTTAATCATAAAGTTTTTTACTTACTTAGTTTGGTTCAATCTCTTAAAGACCAGATGAATAAAGGCTTTCCTGGAATTTTAAAACGAATTCAAATGAACGAAAACCACTTTGGGAAATCCGCAACGTAATTATTATAAAAAAAAACCTGTTAGTTTTTATTTAAATTACATTTTACCCGTGACTTCATTCGCGTGACTGGAATACCTAATAAAAATATGTGTATACCAAACATTAATGGTCGATCTGTTAAGGGGCCAAGAGGTAACAAACGTACTGATTTATCTATAAATACACAGGTAAATGGAAAAAGGATTTCTCGAATTTCTCAAGAGAAGAATATGATAAATAAATTCCAGATAACTAATTTTGGACAGACAAAGCTGCTGCAAGCAGCTAGAGTCGTATATAAATGGTCGCATATAAATCTTTATATAAGGTCACCATTATTTTAATTACAAATGGAATTTAATTGTTTTACAATTTTTAGTCTTGAATAAAACAGATTTATCTCAATAAAACCCCTTACAAGACAAAGTAAGAAATATGAGTATGAAAGTAGTTAGGTAGGTATTATATATGTAAAGAGCATTGCTTTTATATTATTAATAATTTATTTATAATATTTTGTTTCATTTTACAGTGATTAATGCAAGTTTTATGCCAAACAATACAAGACCACTGTATGAGCTGACCGAGCCTCCTCCGCCACTATTTGAGCAGACTCCGCCACATCGGCCACAATATGAGCAGACTCCGCCACCTCGGCCACAATTTGAGCAGACCCCACCACATCTTCGGCCACAATACGAACAAACCCCACCACCACCTCAACTACAATTTGAGCAGACCCCGCCACCATCTCGACCACAGTACGAGCCGGCGCCACCGCCACCACTACCACAATATGAGCAAAACCCACCGCCGGTACAAACCCCACCAACAATCCGTCCAGAAACGAACTACAATGTCTACTATCCTGAAGTAACCCAGCCCACGAGGTTACCACGCCCACCACAGCCAACGCCCGTTTTGTAAGTTGTAGCTTTAAAAATTTTCCGAAGGTTCATTTTACCATTTATGTACTAATTTTTCAAAAAAAAAATTTGTACCAGAAAATTTTACCTATTAGGAATTATTTCTCGTAATCAAATGACTAAAACGGAATCTTTCAATATATCTTATTCCGAAGAAGAATGAAAAAGAGTGGTTTATAAAAAAACAGTTCTTAGATGCCTACTGTGCTGAATTCGTCAAATGCCGTGTCATGATATTAATATGTGATATGTATTTAATTAATTTTAAAAATGTCAACTCATTTAAATAGTGATAATCAATATAAGCACTACAGTGTAAAAAAAAAACTAAAGCTCATACCATAAGTCATTAATAATAATATGGTTAGAATCTTTTTTTTTAATAAAATTTTTAAAACAACGATTTAAATTTCAGCTAAACTCTCTATAACTCCATGTTTCGTGAAGCAATAACTCACTAATTATAAACAACATCTCCTCTAAACTATAGTCTCATTTCTTTTTTTTTAACTTATTCCAGCCCATCAATACCGGAAAGGATACCAGTACCAAGCAGCAATACATTTACGCAAGTGGAATGCGGAAAGATTGCTGGTGGCAATGAGCGGTTACCCCTTATATATAACGGGCAGAGTTACTCCCGCGGTGACTGGCCCTGGCTTGTAGCTATATACAGGAGGAAGGATGGCAGCCTCACGTTTATATGCTCGGGGACTTTGGTGTCCGATCGACATGTTATTTCTGGTAAATACGATTTTTTTCGGAATTTCTTTAATTCATCATTGTTCTAATTAGATGTTTTTCATTAGACAATACTATTAATATGATATGAAAATTAACTTTTAAAAATCTTTTATCTTAAACAAGTAAAAATACATCATTATATTATTTCACAAACAAGTATATACCTACAACTCCATAACCAAAAAAAAAACAAAAAAGAAACTTCAATCATAAACGCACCTATGTTTAACAATATACTCTAAAATAACTAGTTTCGCAGATTCACATTCTAAATATTGCTTGCTTTCAAACAAGCAGTTATATTGCTTGTTCTCCACTATTTGGTAATTTCTTTTTAAAATAATAATTTCTCTTACAGCTGCTCATTGTATGCACCAGAAGAACAGTTACACTTCAATCAAAGATATTGTGGTTAAAGTAGGCGTTTACAATTTGGAGGACTGGGGTGATGACGTGACCGTCACCCGAACCCTTGAAGCTGCATACATCCATGAGTCTTACAATGTATCTACTCTAGCCAGTAAGTGGAATATAACGCTATAAATACAAATCATTAGAGATTTAGTAAAATATCAAACGAAACAAAAACAACTTTCACAATTGACAAAAAAAAGACTTTCCCTAACTTACTTTAACTTTCCCTAACGATTAATAAATGAATTAAATGAATGGAAGAGGAAATATCCTTAGCTTACTTTTTTCTCCTGTTTTCAATTTTGAGGTATAATTAGGTTTACTAAATTCTATTACTAAATTCATCCAAGCCAATCAAATAAAATCAAAATAATTTTTAAACATTTTGAACTAAATAAATGATCGCATAATTAGAAAAAATAATTCAAAAGATATTATCGATTTTGACGCTATTTCGTGAGGAAAGTTGTTCAAATTTTTTAAATCTGTTGTTGAGTTTTGGCTTGATGTGGTATGCTCTATCTATCTATCTATCCTATTTAAGAGCAGCGCTCTTGTCAGTGGAGCTCTTGTCACTCACTACAATTTTCAGCGAGTCTCTTCACCTCTTGATACGACACGACACCAACTCCTTCCTTGATCTGCCTGATGTAACTATGTCTCGATCTCCCTCTCCCCCTCCTTCCTTCTATCTTACCTTCTATTATAATGTTCATAAGTTCGTCGTGTCGTATCAAGCGTCCCAACATTTTTCCCCTTCTGTCCTCTACCCCTTTATAAGCTCGGTTTGTATGTAGTGGTAGTTATTAAGTATTTGATTTACAGATGACATATCTGTATTCACGCTCGAAAGAAATGTCGAATTCAGTACGTACATTAGGCCGGCGTGCTTGTGGAGTGGCAATACGGACCTCAGTCGTGTCGTTGGAGCTTCGGGAGTTGTAAGTAATCTTTGCTAAATATGATCTTTGCCAAATAAGCTTTTTATGCAAGCTCAACACTCTTCACAAACGTTTTTATGTCGAATTTATTCATTTTCTAAATGAATATTATACATAAAAATTTATTCTGTCCGTTGATGCAGATTCTAATTCATTGTTATTCAAATTTCGTTAAGATTCTACCAGTAATGTTTTTATACAACTTGGAATGATAAACAAGCCTACGGCCCACTTGATGCAAATCAGTGGCTGTTATAGACATCAGCACAGAGCAAGTAATCACTTGGGCATGAGCAAAATAATATTTATGCGTTATTGATCATTGTCATTCCTTAGGACAGGTGCTTCATGCCCTGAAATTTAATTGCCATATCTCACCCATCAAAATGAAATACAACCATGCAAGTGCAGCTGTTTTGTGGCAGGAACACGAGTCTCATTCGTGGACGAAGAGAGGACGTCATGAAAATATTTAAAACTCATGAAAAAAAAGTAAATTTAAAACTTTTAAATCTTTTTTGCATCTCACTACTGATCAAAGTTGATTTTCCTTTATTTAATCGTGGTATTCTATTCTAATTAGCTGGTTAAACTTGTTCGAAGGTTGCAGGCTGGGGAACAAACGAATTGGGTCCAGGTGGACACGGCGAACCTCGTATGGTGAGGATTCCTATTGTGAGCACTGCTACTTGCCGTGCCAGCAAACCGGATTTCCATAAACTTACATCGGCGAACACTTTATGTGCGGGTAGGTAAACTATGTTTTATACTCTGCACAGGGAGATTCGGCATAAAGTACCAACTTGTTAGGCTTTGAGTAAAAGCCTTTTACCAGTAAAAGAGGATAAGAGTAGGGTTGAACGATAAAATGACAAAACAGTGGACTGTAAAAATAAGAAGTAACAAATAAACAAACTCATTTTCCTATTTATAATATTAGTTATTCCTACAAATGTAGCAAACAAACTTACGGCCCGTCTAATGGTATACCTACGATTATAGAAGCTACGAGAAAAGTCATGTGCTTATTGCTGACATTTAAAAAATCTTATTATACCATTTTGAAGAGTTCCTCAAAACACAATAATATTTTTTTAAGAAAATATTGGTGTATTTTCTAGAGTGTAGATACTATCCTTGATCTATTTTTTAGAGTAAGTCTACTATCTATCAGCATCTTTAGCCCATTCCACTATCCTAAGTATTTGAGAAAGAAAACGCCTCTTAAACCGCGTGATCATTACATGCCAATAATGAATTAATAAACTAAGGTGGGTGAACTATGAAAGGCAAGCGTAACAAATAAACAGTTATTATTCCTTTATTTATTCCTATGCAAAAAGTATATATAAAAGTCATGCATTTTTTCTAAATACCTACTAATTCATTCGTAATTACTTTCTTTCTTAGGAGACCGCAACGGTGCTGGCCCATGCTTAGGAGACTCGGGCGGTGGCCTCTACCTTCTAGACAGTGGACGGTGGCGTGTCCGCGGTATAGTCTCCTTGTCTCTGCGACCTGAAAACGGCGACAATACGTGCAACCTGAACGAATATATTGTTTTTACCGACGCCGCTCAATACCTCAAATGGATAAAGAACGTTATGGCAAAATAACGGCATATTGTTATTAGTATTATTCGATTTAAGAATTGTGTGTTAAGGGCCCATCCTGCTAAGAACGCAACGTTGAAATGTTCTGGTGAATAATAAGTTTTTTATTTTCATCATAATAATGTTTTACAATCCATTATTTTAATCAAACGTATGTGGTGGAAATAAAACAAATTCTGTCTCTTTCTTAAACACCCTTAATAATAGTCATTTAAAAAATATGTAAATATTATATTATATTATTTATATTATTACTATACAACGACATTTAAGAAACCTTTTATTTACCAATAGAGGTTTACGACGTGACCACTACTTTATTCAAATAAGGAAGCAATATATTACTACAGCATAAAGTAAGTGAAGTGCAGTAATAAAAAATCAATAATATTTCTAGACCAATTATTAAGTACTGAATGTTCTTCTTGAATTTTGATGATATTGATTGAAATCTTGTGAATCTTAGCACGTTGGGCATCTTGAATTGCAATGCCACCTGCCATTTCAATTTATATATAATGTAGGTACTTTTATACAAATGTTAGGTACATGTATTTAAATTATAATATAAATTAAATAAAACCCGTTTTTTTTTATTTATTGTCTAATTATCATTTAAGAATCTAGTATCCTAAAATCACTAAAATCCTAACGTAACACTAATGTAACACCGACACTAAACTGAGCTACTTTATGATCATAGAATATTTTTTTCACCAAAATCCATTTAGACTCGAAACTTTCGAGCGTATATGTTTACATGAACAAGAACAACCTCGTTTGTTTATCTCGCTCTAATATACATCCTTAAGTAATAAAAGTAAAAGCGAATTTGTTTGTTTGTTACGCTTTTACGGCTAAACTGCTGAATCGTATAAAGATAGATGCGACCCCAGAGAGGGTTCTAGCCGCCCGGCTAATGAACATATCTTGATCACATGGACGAAGTCGCGAGTGAAATATAGTATTACTGTATTTTATATTTTTTACATTACAAATCTTATATAAATATAATTTTTAATATATATCTATTTAGGGTTACACATACCTATAATCCCTAATCTACGTAAACTATGACAATCACTTGTTATATGTCATTATGAAATCATGATAAACCACAACTGTCACTGAAGTCACTTGTAGTTTCGCGGGTTTTGTAAATTTTTTTATTAGTTTGTTAATTTAGGGTCAATATTTATAAAAATATATGAATTTATTAAAATAAATCATGTCTAAGTGGCATAAATTACCATGCAGTTTTAGAGAGCTCCAATTAATTGGTACATTAAATGGTGGTCAAAGTTTTAGGTACACAATAATGTCATTAATTTAGTATTGTATTTTTATACTCTTACATATACTATATAGTGTTTTAAATCTTAGGTGGACACACGACGAAAGTAACAATGAATGGATTGGTGTTTTTGCAAAAACGGTATGGAAATTAAAACAACAAGACGATTATTTAAATTATCAAATAATTGGAACCTTACATCCGTCGGCAGCAAACGCAAAAATTGATAATGTAAATTTTGGGGAGCTTCTAGAAAAATATTTTCGCCTTGATTTGAACCTAGCCAAATACTATCAAGAATGGTCTTCAAAAGATGAACTGTTTAAATCGGCATGTGTACAATTCTTTGGGATAAGAATTTTAAATCAAGAACCAGTAGAAAACTTATTTTCATTTATTTGTAGTCAAAACAATCATATATCGAGGTAAGCAAATATCATATTTTTATTAAAAATTCAAATGTGAAACATATTTGAATTAAAAGTGGCTTCAGAAGAAATGAATCTTAATGTTTTAAGTAACAGAAAAAAGGGTATCCACAGACCTAAAATTGGCTCTTTAAAATGATAAGTATTAAAATAAATTTAAACATATAGCAAAAATAATTAAATATAGATTGTGTTTTCAATTGAAATCTAACATTGTCCTATCAATGTAGTAATTAATGTCAATTTGATATTTATAATTGTTACTTGTTATCAAACATGTTAGCCTCACATTTTCCAGAATTTCATCATTGGTTGAAAAGCTTTGTACGCATTATGGTGAAGAAATATGTACACATAATGAAATCACATATTATTCCTTCCCAGTTGTTGAAAAACTTGCTCAAGCAGAGGTAAAACTTTATATAAACTTGTTAAATTTTACATAATGTAATCCTAAATGGACTCAAAATTTACTAATAATTGCATAAGACAAAATTAATAGTTTCTATTTATCTTTATAGGTAGAATGTAATTTAAGAAAACTGGGTTTTGGCTATAGAGCAAAATTTATACATAAGGCGGCAACACAGATTGTTGAATGGGGTGGAGAAGAATGGTTCAAAACTTTGAAAGATATGAAATATAAAGAAGCCAGACAAGAATTGATGAAATTATATGGAATAGGACCCAAGGTATAGAAGAAAAAATAAATAGCTAAACTATAAAGATAGCAGAGGATCTTATCATAAAAAATGGTTTATTATCATTTTTATACTATGACCAGAATAAGACAGTACAAAAGTTCTATGGGTATCTCTGTCCCACTTATGTTTCTGCCAGTAGCTTGTTTGCCATTCTAAGTATTATAAACAAAATTATCTGAAAAAAAAGTGACTTAAGGTCTTTTTGTAACATTTTTTAAGACATTATTTCATTGATTGTGAGTCACTGTTTATTTGTACAGGGACATTCCTAAAACTTTTTTATCTTCATACCAAGTTTCTCCCAGGTTAGGCAACTGAGTATCAAATGGTTACTGGAACCATTTCATGTTTGCCTATTATTTAGAATTAAATATTTGCAGGTTGCAGATTGCATATGCCTGATGTCACTTAATCATTTAGAAGCACTTCCAGTTGACACACATGTGTATCAAATAGCTGCACAAAATTATTTGCCTCATCTCAGAGGAAAGAAAAATATTAGTGAAAAGATGTATGTTGAGATTGGGGACCATTTTAGGAAATTATATGGAGATATGGCAGGATGGGCTCATACAGTAAGTATTAAGAGTTTTCACAGGCAAGTTGCATTTTATAAAAAGCAGAGAAAACTGCATATTGTTGTAGTTAATGCCCCACATACCTAAATTTTTATGAAAAAATTTTATTCAAAGTGTGTGGTAAAATAAAACAATTATATGAATAGTATTGAACATGAAAATTATACTTGTATCAATGTCCAAGTATAAACACACCCAATCACATAAGAGTATTGAAATTACAACTTTGGACTAGAGTTGTGGTAACATACTTAGAAATACTATTATTATACATAGTGTCATCCTTACTAATATTATAAATATGAAAGTGAGTTTGTTTATTACTTTATAGCACATTAATGGCTTAACCAATCACTTTGAAATTTGGTAAATGGGCTGGAAAATAATATAGACTACTTTTTCAGTAGGTCAATTATCATATCCCGGTCACACGGATGAAATTGTGGGTCAAAGCTAGTTATATATACCTACTTTAATTTTAACAGTAAACATTGCAGTAACACTCAGGTTATATCATACTGTTTTGTATGTAATCTACAGGTACTATTTTGTGCAGATTTGAAGAAATTCCAACAAAATAATGGCAATGAATCCTGTGAAAGTCAGCTAAAGAAGAAGAGAAAAAAATAAAAAAAACAGAGTGATAGTTGTAAATTTGATTATATGTATTTTTCAAAATAATATGTTCTTTGATTTGATACAAAAGTATAAAATATCTTATTCTTAAATTAACAGAAAGCACTAATAAATTTTGTAATAAATAAAATATACTTAAGAATACAACCTGGAATGGTTTACAGAATCTTTTTGAAAGATCAAATTAATTACAATATCACAAATTGATATTTTTATGTTCTAAAAAGTATTGTGTAAAATAATATTATACATTTTGTGAGATTTTATTATTCTAACTTACACTTTTAAAAAATATATATATACTAACCTTAATAAATCGATATAAGACAATGGTTGAGATTAAGTTTACTTATATGTTAAACAGATTTTTAAAGATATAACATCTGTATGAACAATTTTGTTATGGATCTTGATTAATCCCAGGAATGATTAATTTTAAACCTACCGATCTATATTTATTTGTGGAATATGACACCTATGGAATTATTATATGTCCAGTGGAATATTCATTTCAGACAGCCCGAAAAATCTTACATTATACTTTCAAATCTACCATTATCTATCATTTACTGAGATGAATCAAGATTGAATTAATCGTGTTTTAGTTTCAGCGTGAAACAAAGAAATAAGTTATGTGTATTCCAGTCAGTGTAAAAAAATTACCACAGTCGATTCACAATAACTTATTAAAATTAACTAATATAAGAATAGATGTAAATAAAAATCTAATTATTAATAAACTGAATAAAAATGCAAATATAAAATCAGTCATATTTAGTTCTTAAAATAAAATATAAAATTAGGAACTTATCTACGAATTTTGGTGTAAACGTTATGTAATAGCACCTTTAAAAGGTTTTTAAGTCCAATTAGTTCAAAGATCTAAAGTATAAAATTGTGCCATTTCCAAGGCTAGATTTACTAATGTCGGTTACGGTTCTCTATCGATAAATTTTAATTTGATATCATAACAAAATCTTTATTACATATAAGAATCAATATGAACTCTATTCCAAATAAATTTAAGTCAATATTTTGTAATTTTGATTTATAATTACTTTTCTTTTTCCAAAGGTTGCCTGGAAGACATTTCTCTTAGCGATAATGCCGCCCATTCTTTTCTCAGTGCAATATTTTCTTGTAATTGTTTGTAGTTATAATAAGTTTACTGATGTAATCTTACAGAAAAAACAATAAAGAGTATCTATCTATCTATGTATGATGACCTATAAAACAGTAATTTTATATAATGTTAAATTAAAATGTAAGGTTAAGAGATTAGAGAAATAACACCTCAGAAATGGCCCTATTGTTTTTTGCGTAAAAATTGTTACTAGACCGTATTCGGACTCGGAAAAACCTAGCTTAATAAAGCTTGTCTCAAGATATTCCTTCCAAGAAACCTAATGTGAATACTTAATAATGTTATTATATTAAAAACAATAAGCAACTAGTATGTATGGTGAAATTGTACCTGAAAACGTGATATCGATCGTACTTGTATGTATATATACTTATAATCATATAATCAGAAAATTCTGATAAAAAAACAGGATAAATAATTGATAATGTGGATATATTTATAATTATTTGAGTTATTTTCAGGACAACCAGACCAAAAATATTATAATTTTGTTTTTAAATTTTGTTCTAGTTCGAGATCATGTCTTAGTTTAGTTCAAATGATCAAATAAAATTTATCTCATTTATCTGGTCTTTTATATTCATACTATTATGAATAAAAAAAGTTAAAATTTTCCGAATATCTTATAGAATATGTCCCATGTTTGTAATATCCCATATATTACACATAGTAGAATGAAAGAGCGAAATATGATTCTGATTTACGGCTCTCGCTCAGACTATTAAGTATTACAGATTAAACAACTTTTGTACTGCGTCAATTGCGCAGTAACAATTTTACATGCAAAAGCGTTTTTTGCACAGACTTCATTGTCTATGGTTTTATTCAAAATTGCCGAGAACTGTAAAATCTTACTTATTACCATAGTAGATTTGTGGACAGTACTCTATGAGTGCTTGCAATGCGCGGATTTCGAAGGCCAAGTCTGTAATAGCTGGAGGGGTTGCGACGAGAGTTGGCGCGAACACGGTGCTCAGATTGTGAGGGCTCATCTTATTCACTTCTGATTGTTGAGCGACCCTGGAGACAAATGTATATGTTATTTCTTGGACATTTGCCTACCTAAATGCAAATAAAATCATTTCAAAGTAATCAAAAATCGAACAGGTTGACATATGCTGAATGCTTGATTAGGTACAGTTAGACAATCTTACTAGACTATTTCTGAGCTTATTTGCTTTGCCCGCTATGTGATCTTCATCAGTCACTGTGCATTATAGATGGACTGTGTCTGGTGAATTTTAGTAGCAAAAAATGTGTGTAATGTAAGAATACAGATTAAACGTACTCGATTCTCACTTTCTACCCTTTAACTAGCGTGCAACGGCCGAACAAGGGAGGGGTGACACAGACAGTCCGGTGACTATAAACCTCGGTAAAGGCATGGTGAATGCTTTTTTTTCGCGTCGTCAGGGGGCGCCGTCAAAAGCAGGTGATAGGCTAAGTCTGGCCCTGCGTTAAGAGTAAAATTATAATATTCACCTATATAAATGTTGTACCATATACTGAAGGCAATTGAAATGGGCTGGCGGTAACATGTCTAAGCATTCTCGCAACATCGCTATTTGTGCAGCGGTCGTTTTTAATTCTGTAATAAAACATAAAAATTTTCATATATTTTTTCCAATACCTCGACAGTGTCAAGCAAGTATACATATAACTTGCTTAATAGCAAGTTCTAATGCAGGCGGTTTCATAGACAAGTAATTTGCGATCCAAATGTTTTCATTTTGGACCAAAATAGTAACCAGCTGCCCTCCTCTATATTTAATTCTGATCATTTTTATTCAATAGACTAATTTACAAGCACTTTTAAATCGTCATTTTAATATAACGGTAACTCCGCTTGCGCTGTCTGTATACGCTAGTACTCTGTACCAGAGACAGAGGACAGTAATGGAGTACCGTGACGAAGTCACCAATAACTAACAGTTAATGATTCTCATAAGGTACCGCGTGGAGGTCGAATACGTGATGGCTCTAATCTTACAGGGTACAATATACCCTGTAGAGAGGGAAAGGGATTATTAGTACCTAATGGAGTTTAATAGCCCCATAGCTAGCGATTTACACTTTCAGGTTGACTTCCGCGCGGTTCGCCCTGAAAGCCATAGTGGTTAATTTTTGTCGAATTCATCACGATGAGCTAATTAACCAGCTTTCGTCCTCACGTATCATCTCTCACTGCTCCACCAGCATATACCGATAGCGCAGGCAAATTACAATTAATAAGACCATGTTTCCATTCTTAAAAACCACTTTTCCCATCCTGTAAAGGCTGATTTAAGACTATTACTACGGATTACTAGGAATTTTATTTACATCTAATTATTATACGTACGTATTGCCTCCACCAACTTCGGATGCACTTCGAAAGTAATCAGGGGGACCGGCAGCAATCGCAAATATAATTTGAGTGTTCCAGCTACCACGTTTATATTGCTGTACACACTGAGATCTGTTGCTTCGCCATCTGGTAAATGAAGATTTTTTTCAAATATTCAACCGACTATGACACACTCGTATATGTAAATTAAATGCTTTTAAATTGATAACCGCATCACTTGAGAATGACAGGACTAATTTAGCTATTTTTTAATGTAAAGAATAATTGGGAAATTTATGTTTAGATTATAATGAAAACATTTTTTAAAAAATATTGATAAATATTATAGATTGTGTCAGTTGACTATATATACCTTTATCAAATGCCATCTTCAAGGCTTCAATCTCGTCTGCAAATCCCGACACCCGATATATACCCTCAGAGTCCATTCCCCTGGCCTCTATCTCGAGTACGCACTTCCTCACGACAAACGGAAGCATGCTGGCGTGAGCATTTAATAATGTTGTAAGATCTATGCCAAATACTCCTCGAAGTTTTTTTAAATCAGGAACGCAATGATTAGGCACTCGCTCCGAACATTTGGAATGTGCTATAAAACCGCAATCTGTGAAAACGCAAAATGTGACAATTATTATTAACGACTTATTCTTATATAATTGTCACATCTCTAAAATTAAAATTTCATTTTTGTATCACAGCAAAATGTTTATTCTAAGGATCAATAGGAATTAAATTTCTTACTAGAGGGAGATTTTGTACAAAAGTCGTTTGCTTGGGCACCTCTGTCCCATTCATGTTTCTACCGTGAAGCAGTTGTGTTTGCATGTGTTTCGATTTGAAGGCTGGGATATGGCAGAGAATTTACAGGGTACAGAGGAATAACACCCGAGTACTCAGGAATGGCAACGCATGGGCGAAACAGTATACTCTGTTATATCCATGGTACTGCTCATGTCTATAGGCGACAGTTACTACCATCAGGTGGGCAGTCGGCTTGTTTGCCATTCTACGTTGTAGAAAAAAAATCAAATTAATTCGAAATTATTATGTAAGATTAAGAGATAGGTAACAAATTATAAAAAGTTATAAATTTCTTAATAAATCACTTGTGAGCATTCTCGAGATACGAGAATTATATAAATTACTTAACTTTCCAGCTAGAATCGATATTTTAAAGGTATGTGAGAAACCAGATATCAAATATGACGCTAAATAAAATATAGTAATGTAGATACTGAAAATACATTTAGCAGAAATGTAAATCACACAAAATTGTACTTCATAACTAAGTCTCTAGAAGCAGAAATCTTTTTGATGAGATTACATCAAAATAAAAAATATATAACTACCTTCACATTTTACACCCTGTGCAGTAAATCCCCATAAGAAATTGGCACAAAGTTCACACCAATTCAATCCCTTAAATGTATGTACTTTAAAACTATGACATTTAGAGTATTTTATTAACAGTGGATTATCTTCTAGAGTTGGTGTAAGATCAAATGTTGGTTTCTTAGGTTCTATGTCCAATCCTAGATTCTGGTGTTCAGTCTTAATTGTTACAGGACTTGATTTGTTTGAGTTTCTGAAAAAGAAAATATAAAATTAAATGAATTTGCATATAATATCTATCACAGATATTAATTTTTAATAGATGTTGCAATGTAATTTAAAAATTTACTTAACTTGAATTAGATGTGATTGTCTCAGCTAAATTTTAATTTGTAATTTCTATGGAAAATTTTATGAAAAAAAAAAAGCTTTTTCATGTAAGATGCAAACATGAACAATTTTTAAATACCTAAATTCAGGTACTTGCAACATCTATTCCCTTCTATATCTGTAGTAATTACTTATGCGGTTATAGCATCATATGTATAAGAAAACAAGAAATAACTATGTAAACAATGAATTATAAGAACCAAAATTTGCTTTTGACACAATAAAATTTTGCTTTATATCCAGTGCATAAGACCCAGTGTTAATTTTGAATTTGATTGACACTAAAAATTTTCAGAATCAGAAATGAGAAAGTGTAATGATAAACACTTTAACAAATGGAATAAACAATAAAAATAATGACAAAAAACCCTTTTAGCAAAAATATAAGATAAAATTATATATATGAGTTCCCAAAGGTTACTTGGCAGGGAATGCTACATAATATTATGCTTTCCATTCAATATCTTTTTTTTTTTATAAAATATTAATAACAAATAAAGAAATAATATTACTGTTTCATTTGTGACAATGTGTTCAATTTTCGCTTATTGAGTGTGACATAAGGACTGTCAGTATATTTAGCTCGATGCTGTTCCGAATTGATCATCTCCAAGATATGGTGGGCCTTCAGCTCCATGTGACAAGTGATGAGACCGTCGGCAACTAGATCATGGACGGTCTCATATCGCTTATCCTTTATGTAATATGTCCCATCATAATACAGTTTATAATGGTGGATTTTGTTATTGAACCTGAAATTAATATTTATATTAAGTAAGTTTAAAAGTTAACGATTATTTTCATTGTAAACCTTCGTCCACTGTGTTATCTGATGTGTGTTATCATACATGTGTTGCAAATTTGTTAGTCTCTATTTTTAGTTATAATTGTTTAATAACAATGATATTTAACAGTTTCAAAAAGAGGAATCAAAGTATGGTGGTGCTGCTTATTTATATTAAAATAATGTTTTAAAGTAATATAATACAATTTCAAATTTGGTACAAAATTTATATTTAAATATTGTTCAATATGAACAAAAATATTGTAATATAAACTATTTCATAATTATAAAATACTTTTTTGGTTTTTCTTTTGTTTTTATGGAATGTTTTTTTTTTGTCTTATTATTAATTACAGCCTATACACAGTGTTTTTATTTTTATCTACTTTTATTCTTCTGATTTAAAGTTCACTGCTAAATTTAACTATAATAAAACCAGCGACCAACAAGGAGCTGAACAAATATTAAAATACAAACTTCTTATTATTTATTTTTACCTCTTGTACTCTGTATAAATAGGTTTTTCAAGCAATGTTACATTAAAACTATGCATAACTATTTAAAAATATTATCTTTTCAAAATTTACAGTAAAAATAAATGCAGTATCGGATTTTGTCTAATGGTAAAGTAGACCAATATTATAAAGACAGCTCTGAAAATATTTATTAAGTAAATATTATTATTTTATTATTAATATTTAAAATATGTACAGAATGATTACCTCCATGTGAGTGTATAAAAATCATTTAATTGATTTCCTTTCCTAATAAGATATGCACCATTGGGCTCATTTTCTAAAATTAAAGTAGCCTCTTTGTGACCTACAATTCCGTGATATTCTTTCCCATAGAACTCTGGCCTGTCAGGACAATTTTCGCATATTATCCTTTTCGGTAAAGGAGCTTCCAATTGAATTCGATACACTGAAAGATTATGAGTAATTAAATTCATGGAATACCAAAATTCAAAAACGGAAACCACTCATCGTACATACATTCTGGTTTCCATATGTTTTTCAAATTTTCCATGGTAAATATTTATTTCTTATTGTATTTAGTATTCACTTTATCACAATAACTGTGTCAAGGTTTTAAATTAATAAGTTAAATAAAGAAAAATTATTAATCATCTTCTTCTTCTTCTTTTTTAAAATATGGCTTCCACCGTAGAAGCAACGGTGATTTTCTGCCAATGTCAGGGTTAGAGAAGACTCCGTGAATTTTATATTATGACATTTTTCAGTAATGATCGTTCAGTTGAGTTCTCTGGAAAGGAGGACAACACAAAATATGTTATATACATGCAAAGGAAAAATAAATTTAATATGATATGTGTGTATGAGTGTATTATAGCAAAGACAATACGCGGAAGGAATGAAAAGACGAGAAGTGTAAAGAGTGACATATACTTATATTTTAAATTTTTATATTATTAGTACATATAAATTTGGCCAGTACCTTAACCAAAGGAGAGTGGACTAAGGTAAGAAGGAATGGAATATTTACAGGACGTGGAAAGGTACGAGGCAACAGGTCATAGAGGGGAAGGGTCAATTTGGGGCATTCAAAAAATAGGTGCTCTAACGTTCCTTCCGCTAAGCCACATTCGCACAGAGAGTGATCTTGGATTCGGATTTTGTATAAAAATACGGGTGTGCAGACATGTCCCAAACGTAGGCGGCATATAACTGATGTAACCCACTTATCTAAGTTTCGTTGAGTAGCAAACCATGGTTTTATAGGGATGAAGGGCTGGATATTACCATAATACTTGCCTTTAGATTGTCTAGTTTTTTGCCACAAGTTATCCCAAGCCTCTAACATGTGTGGTTTAGCCTGACAACGTAGATCTCGAGTGAAATAAAAATTGTAATTATTACCATGTTGGATAGCATTTTTGGCCCAAGAGTCTACTGTTTCATTCCCTATAATTCCTGAATGACTAGGAATCCACGCAATGGTAACATTAATACCGGACTTATAGCACCTATGTAAAATTTGTTTAGTTTGCAAAGTTATGTAAAAGTTTTCTTTGGATTTAAAAGGTAGTTTTAAAATATCTTGTAAACAGCTTAGGGAGTCCGAAAGAATGAGGGTTTTGTTTAATTTATGTGTTTCTACATAGGACACTGCTTCCATAATAGCTATGGATTCACCAGTAAATGTTGAGGATGAAGGAGAACATTTGAAGTTGAGGACAACGTTATATTTTGGGATCCATACAGCGGCTCCAACATGATCTGATTTGTCAGTTTTAGAAGCATCTGTAAACATCAGAAGCCAGTCGTGCCATGTTTCCGCGACAATAGCGTTAAACTTTTGATTAGCAAAAGGTGAATGTTTTACTAATCCAAAATCTAGAATTACATTAGGACGATAAATTAGAGAATCATAATCAAATTCGAAAAGAGGGTTACGGTCTATTTTTTTAATAAGTGAGATCGGGTTTTTGTACTTGGTAAAGCTCTTAAGGATGGGAGGGGGTTCTTTATGGGTCCAGTAACTTGATAGGCTTATTTGTTCTGAGAGAGACTCTAAGATAGGAAGGAGAGGATGGGAGTTATATTGGGCAATATTGAGGTAAAAGCGGTCTGAGAGATATTGTCTACGTAGATGGAGAGGGGGATCTAGACATTCGACTTGCAGAGCGTTTGCTGGAGATGACTTCATTGCACCAATAATTATACGTAAGCACCTACTTTGAACTCTGTCAAATTTAGCTAGAGCAATTTTGTTGCAAGGTTCTAACAGAAATGAGCCATAGTCTAAGTGACTTCGGATAATAGCATTATATAAGAGTTTTTGGCTATATGGATGAGAACCCCAACGTACACCAGAAAGGGCTTTTAAGATATTAATACTACTTTCGCATTTATTTACTACGTAGCTTAAATGATGCAGGCCTGTTAATTTTGAGTCCAGGATAACACCCAAAAATTTTACTTTATCTTGTACTAAGATAGGTTCATTATTTAGAGAGAGTTCAATAACGGGGATTTGTCTCTTGCGGCTAAAAACGACCGCTGAGCACTTTGGTATAGAAAGTGTTAGCCCATGATCATCTAGCCACTGATTGAGGTAATATAACGCGGAATTTAGGCGGGAAGAGGAGTCAGAAAAGGAATCTGAGGCGATATACATAGCAATGTCATCCGCATATTGTAGGATTTTGCAGAAACAAGTAACAGAGGATTCAAGGTCAGATGTATAGATATTATATAAAAGGGGACTAAGGACAGAGCCCTGTGGGAGACCTTTCCAGACCAGTCTTGAAGGAAAAAGAGAGCCATTAACACGCAAGGAAATCGATCTAGCCATTAAGAGATTACATATGATAGTAGTCAGTCTCACAGGAATACTCAGATTTTGCAGCTTTTGCCTGAGTATTGGAAGCTGGACATTGTCATACGCAGACGAGATATCAAGGAAAATTCCTATGAGGTGTTCATTGCAGGAGAAAGCAAGGCGTATTTCCGAAATAAGGACACTAAGGCTATCTGTAGTACCCATGCCACGTCTAAATCCAAATTGTAATTTGGATAATAAACCTTTACTTTCTAAAATCCATTCAAGTCTATGTTTAATGAGAATTTCTAGAATTTTTGCCAAGGCCGAAGGTAGGGCAATCGGTCTGTAAGAATTTGGATCGTTAGGATCTTTTTGGGGTTTTAAGATGGGAACTATAATTTGGGATTTCCAAGATTCAGGTACTATTCCAGATAAGAAGACACAATTAATAATATCCAGAAAGTATTTTTTACCTGACATGGGTAGATTACATATAAAAGAATATGGGATGCCGTCAATTCCTGGAGAGGAGTCATGGAGATGATCAAGGGCACAAATCAATTCTGGTAACGAGAATGGTTCATCCATTCTGTCACCACTAGAAGTTGGAGGAGTTGCATAAGGAAGGGAATCTTCTGAGGGGACAAAAGGTGGAGCAAGCCTATCAAAAAAAGCATCTACCCATAACGAGGGATCATTCGATGTTAAATTATGATTAATAGTTCCATTGCGAAATGAATTGATTTTATTCCATACAAGAGAGGGGGAGGCTCTTGGAGATAAGGATTCACAAAACCTATGCCATCCTGAAGATTTTTTCTTGGAGAGTAGTCTCTTTGTGCGAGCAGCTATCTTACGATAGGAGAGGTAATTATCCATCGTCAAGTTTGATAAATAAGTTCTTTCAGCCTCTTTTCGCAGCTTGACACTATTTGTACACTCAGAGTCCCACCAAGGGGGGGAAGGGATTTTGTTAAGAGTAGAATTTTTAAGGGGGATCGAATCATTAGCTGCTGATGTTAAAAAAGTAACAAAATTATTGTAGGTTTCATGAAAATTATTTATACTTATGGCAGGGAGGGAACAAAATTTATTTTCTAAAAGACTGGAGAATTTATGCCAATCAGCTTTATCTGTTTTATATTTTAGAAGTGGACTGGGGACAGACGTAGGTTTGGAATAAGTATTATAGAATGTAATTAAGATAGGAATATGGTCACTACCATATGAATTAGGTAGGACTTGCCATGTAAGTTTAGTGACTAGGGTAGGGGATGCAAGTGTTAAATCAGGACAGCTGGGGTTTTGAAGAGGGGATACTCTACGGGTACTAGATCCATCATTCAGCACGCAGAGGTCAATGTCGTCGAGTAGATCTAACAAGTATGTAGAAACTGTGTCAGTGGATTGTGAGCCCCATAATGTGTGATGGCAGTTAAAATCTCCCATGATAATAAAAGGAGGACAGAGAGTCGATAGGAGTGACTGAAGTTCAGAGAGTATGGATTGATTTGGATGAGGGATATAAATAGAGACTAAGGTAATACCAAAGGTTTTGACTGCTACTATTTGAAATTCTGGACTGTGTGAGGGGATGGGGATTTGGGAGAATGTAGTAGATTTTGTAACCAGAAGAGCGGAACCCGCCCATCCGTCGGCTCTGTCATCCCGGAGGCATGAGTAGCCAGGCACTCTGAATGTAGTGCCAGGTCTTAACCATGTCTCCGAGATGGCAAATGCCACTGGTTTAAATTTATTGAGTAAATATATAAGATCATGTTTTTTATTTAAGATACTCCTAGTATTCCATTGTAGGAGGTTTAGGGTCATTTTTTAAGAAGGAGGAGAGGAGGAGCTGCAGTAATTGTTGGACATTGTTCGGTAATGCATCTGAAAATTTTGATATAATGTTAATGAGGGTACAAACAAGAAGTTCCACAAGATTGTCATTTGGGGTAGGGAGAGGAGTTGTTTCCTCATATTTTTGTTGGCCTATAGCAGCACAACCATTAGGTTGAGAGGATTTGGGTGTCTGAGTAATATTATTATGTGCAGATATGTCATACGATTTACCCATGGGGGGACGAGGTCGGGGAGTTAAAAGGACTGTTTCACGATATGATTTTCTGGGTGATGAGGATGGAGATGATGTAACTGAGAATTGATAGTTTAGAGGATGAGAGGTTTGAGGTTGGTATAAATTTTGTTGAGTCGATGTTACATCAGCATATGACCGCTTTACAGAAGGAAATCGGACAGATGCCTCCATGTGGCTTATATTTTCTTCAGCCATTACAATTTTTATACTTTTTTGTCTTGCATGTTCGGGACACACCGACTCTGTAGCTGCATGATTATCACTGTCACAGAGTATGCAATGTGGTTGTTCCTTACTTTTATCGCATGCATCACCTGCATGTTGAGCACCACAATAATAACATCTAGGTTTAGATCGACACTGAGTGCGAATATGGCCAAACCTACAGCAATTTCTGCATTGAATAAGAGGTAACCTATATAGCAGAACCGGGAGAGAGGTATCAAAACAATAAACTTTTTCTGGAAGAACCTGCCCTTCAAAAGTCAATACAACTGAAGATGAGGGTATCCAAGTGACTGAGTTGTCCGGTTTATGAGATTTGACATTTAATCGTCTAGCTCTTATCACTTGTCCACAATTAGGAGGAGTATCGATATTTTGGACCAGTTCCTCAAGGGACCAGTCATTAGGTATATTACGAACAACCCCCATTCGGGAGATTTGGAATCTTGGGATGCTAGCAGAGTATTTATTATCTGTAAGGAGTGGATTTTCAACAAAATTGTTGGCTTCTAAATGATTTTTAAATTCAACAGATATCCTATTACGACCTAATGCTTTGATACCCCCCTTCTTGATTCCTGTGATTTTATTTTTGTGTAAGAACTGCGCAAATCTTAATAGTTTTATTGATAATCCAGTTGAAACATCGGGTTCTATTCTTGTTATATGTACGGAATAAGGAGCCGCATCCTGGGGATTATACTTTGCTTTTGAGTCACTCTCAAAACCTGGTCTGGTGTAAACAAATTGTATTGATTCTGAGGGTGGATTAGTTTTTTTCCCATCCCTATTGTCAAGATCCAAAGACGCTCGTCTTTTCCTTGTATTACCTACCAGGGATTGAGAGGGCTCCAAGCCATCATCGATAGGTTCTATAGGTATACCTCCTATATCGGGAGGATCCTCATCACCGCTCACCTCCATAATTACGGAGGTGGAGCGAATATACACATAAGAAACTACTTACCACACACCACTAAGAAAATAGGACAAACACAGGACAAAATGAAATAAATATAAGGATTCTCAACACAATATAACACTAAATAATAAAGATTCCAACAAAAAACGTGTATTCACTAACACCTTCAAGTGACAGATCCTCTTATGGATGATTGATTCCTATTAATCATCAAATAATAACGTAAACAAAAATCTGTTTACTCAACTGTCATCTTTTTTTTTTTTTTTTAGTACGTTTGTTCCGTTTGGAACAGGCTAAGGTCGGAGACCATGCTGCCTAGTCTTCAAAAAGATAATTTGTCTGGAATTTTACTCAACTGTCATCTTTTTAATATTGACATTGACAAATGACATTTTAAATTGACTGTTTGCAAGTAAACGTCTTAAAGGCAGCATGGTCTCCGACCTTAGCCTGTTCCACAACGGAACAAACGTACTAAAAAAAAAAGTAAACGTCTTAAAGTAGAGTCGATTCTGAGGCACCATTTCTCTAAACTCATCTCTTAACCAAATACTTATTTCAATTTGATAGTTTAGCGAAGTTACTGCTTTATGGATCACAATAAACTAAATTTATAATCATTTTGACTCTAATCAATTAATTATAAATTTACTCCATATTGATTCTATGAATAAAGATTTCGCTATGACATCAAAGATAGATTGAGAGAAATGGCCCCTCAAGAATCGGCCCCTTCTCCATTATCTCTGCAGGAAATTGTACTATTTTTAAGATAGAAAAATTAGGTTTCTTTGTCTTACATATAGCAAATAACATACGAGACTACTCGTAATTGATCAAGTCGCTAAACCATCTACGAAGTTTATAATATACCTTTATTTATAGAATCAAGAAAGAAATAAATCATTGTCTTATAATTTTATTTGTGTAATAAACTTTATTTCGTTCATTAACTTTCGGTATTTGGTTTAATTATTCGCAGTTATTTTAAATTGACTTGTAACTATTTTGCTGATTATTTTTCTATCTAATGCATTGTTCATGTGCATTAGCATTTTTGCTTATATTAGTTAAACTCACAAATATATTCGAGCATTGAAGCTTTCATTCGTTGAATATTTTTTACCTGTAACATTGTATAAAATAGAAGTTAACTATAAAACATATCAACTAACCTAGTTTTGTCGGGGGAAAAAAGGACTGGTAGTAACTGATTAGGTCGACCTCCACGTAGTCTCCCCTGGAAACTTGAGATGGGCTAACTGATCTGCCTTTTCATCTCACCTATCATCATTCACTGGTGCTCCCCCAGTGTATACCATTAGCATAGGCGAGATTACCGCTCCTTTATCATTTATTAAAAAATATCCCTCACTGGTATCACGCCAGTATATATCGTTAGCGCAGACAGGGTTACCATTTCATTATATTTCATTAAAAAAATCTATTTTGTTGAATATTATGTTTTTACAGTCAAGCAATTTTGTTTGCAAAACTGTTTCAGTTTAAAGAGTAGGAATATGGAAGTGTATTTGTCAAACATCCTAGTCTCCAGGAATGAAACGCCGTGATGTTCCTACATAATGCTATTTATAATAATTTATTTATAGTTAAATCAGGTGGGCTTAGTAGTTGTCAGCCTGTACATAATAACGTAACAGCTTTTAGTGAAGAGTAAAGCCTGATAAAGATATATCTGAGAATAAATTTACTTATGTTAAAAAAAAACTCCATTATTGACGGTATAAAATCTACTATATCTTAGAAGATCTTGTGGTAGAGCGCGAAACACATTGCTCTAGGCGCTAGATGGCAATGAGCGCCAATAAGCCAAATGCGATGGCGCCTTTTCAAAGGCGCGGGAATATTAGCACTATTTACAATAGAAGTTGATGTTTGAAAATTTAAAAATTACCTATTATTTAACATCAAACCGGAACAAAATTTACTTGAAGTCAAAGTATCAAATATAGGGCGCAAAAGACAATCTCCCTCTACCCTGATCACGGGCTAGGGCCGGCACTGCCGTGAATAAATACAATAACACCAGAATATCTATTGAATTAAAAACCGTGTGGTCCCGGCATAGAATAGGCCACCCCTTTCTTTCCTGTGGGTGTCGTCAGAGGCGACTAAGTGAGGACGAAGGATGGTCAGCAGCGTCCCTCTTAATCTTTATCTCCAAAGTTTAACTGCGGTTGCCAATCCGCCTACCAAGTGTGGCAACTACTGGCAAAACCCCGCAAGGGAGAGACATATGTCCAGTAGTGGACAATTAAAGGCTGATATGATGATCTCTTGAATTTTTCCTCATATTTTTATTCTCCACTGATAACCCGCTATAGTATATTTAATATCTAATATATAAAATTCTCGTGTCACGGTGTTTGTTACCAAACTCCTCCGAAACGGCTTTACCGATTTTCATGAAATTTTGTGTGCATATTCGGTAGGTCTGAGAATCGGCCAACATCTATTTTTCATACCCCTCAATGATAAGGGTGCCCCATCCCTAAATATTTTATTTTCATTTTTTTGATATTTTTTTTATTTTTATTTTATTATTACTAAGCATCGAAAAATACATCCAGCTTCAAATTTTTACCCTTTTACGATCAACCACTGTTTTTTAATAGTGATTTTGATATTCCGAAAAAGGGTTGCAAGATGGCGGTCAAAAATAATAATTGTAATACGAGTAATTTTCATGTATAGTTCTCAAAATAATGTATGTGGTAAAACAACGTTTGCCGAGTCAACTAGTATATGCTATATTATATTGTTCTAGAAAAATAAAATGATATTGTATCTATATTTTTAACAACACGTGTAATAAATACAATAAAAAAATAATTATAGTAGAGAATTAACTACTAGTATGTGTAAAAATTTATACGCACGTATAATCAATTTTTATTGTTAGACACACATACGTAATACTCGTGTAATATGTTTTTAGATTTAAATTGTAAAAAGAAAAACATAATTAAATAAAAAAAATATATAATTAAATGTATTTTGTTTTTCAATTTATGTTAATTTGTGTGTTTTTTCAACTTATGTTAGTTTGTATTTTTTTTTTATATCTAGACGATTAAATCTATTATTCCAAACTTGCTTAATTATAAAATATTATCATACTTACTTGTACAACAATTAGTCCATTACCCTAAGGTTGTTTTGAAATGATCGTTTTCAGCAATAAGACCTCCTTACTATACTTATACAACTGTATCGTTACATTTGTTGTCCTACTAATTCCCTTTATTTTTTTAATGGTTGATTATGGAATAGTAACCCCGCCTGCGCTAACGGTATGCGCTGGTGGGGCACCAGTAAGGTATGATAGGTGAGGATGAAACAGCAGATCAGTTAGCCCATCATGATGAATTCACCTGGAATTCAGCACGATGGTTTCTAGGGGAGACCACGTAGATTTCGACCTGCCAAGATATACTGCTAGCAATAAGACTGGTACTCCGTGTAACTAACAATCCTGCCCCCTGTTCCCGATATTGTATATTGGAAATAAAGTATACTGATTGATTCATTAAATCCTTCACTACAATAAATACCTAGATACGTAATTGATATTAAAGCATTTAACACATAATCGTATCTAGATACTTAATACGAGAGATGTTATTAGACAAACAATGTTATTAGATAAATTTAAGTATAGAATTTAATTTTATTGAAGCAATAACATAATACTTATAGCTAAAGATTAAATGTATTAAGCGAATACAATTTATCTGTTAAGACATATAATTTAAAGGAAGATTTCCAGATACGATTGTAGATATTGTTAGGTATGTTATTTCTAGATAATCATTTTGATTTTCCATTCTATCTACAACGATTAACGGTGGATAAATAACATAATTCTTTGATCTTTGATTCACAATAGAACTACATTTACTATAAGCATAAAATAGAAGAAACAAAAATACTATTGCCGATATAAGTAGTTAGGTAAATATTGTAAACAATTAATAGAAAAATAAAAAAATATATAGAACTTAACCGACTTAAAATAGCGTTATGCGTTATAACTACTATAAGAATAGACATTCTTAAATAAAATCGGTTAAATAGGTTTCTACCTAATTCCTTTCATAAAGGGGAGAAGGAATTGTTAGTAATGGGGTTATCAACCCCATTGTTAACAATGTATTCTATCAAGTCGACCTATCGGGAAAATCTCATTTTTCAAGTTAGAGCAAACAACACACATTTACAAAATTTCATTAAAATCGACTGTTTCGGAGATTTTTAATATGAGTGTTATTTCTAAACCGATTTGGAGAATTCTTATCTGAAAGAATTAACTTAAAGATTGGTACTATAGAATTTAGTTTGTAGACCAATACTATCACAATTAAAGTCGGTCTTTTTTTTTTGTGTGGCACAATCTTTAATTATGTATATATTAAAATTCTCTTTTAACATTAAAATATGAAACAAGATTATTAAAATTGTATAATGCAGTTTTTGTTTCATACATTTTTTATGTTACTTATTTGAAGCTACAATAAAATCTTCATGTGTTTGTCTTATTCATCACTAACGTCACAATAATAATTAATTATAAACCCTTCCAAAACAAATAAATATATTTGTGATAACTGACAGTGCCATGATACCCAGATAACTAAGAGATAACATTTTTATTAAGGTTTAGAGATGGTAATGACCCAGTAAGAGCAAGACTCGGTATCAATAAAAGAGCTATTTCCTATATTGGATTTATAAAGCGTCAGTTTAAAGGATATATCGAGCCGAAACACTATAAGCAATTGAATATTAATTAAACCGAACAAGTAATACTTACAACGGAATTTTATTATTTTCTATTAATAAATTTAATGAACTTGCCACAAATAAAACCGACTTTAATTATGGCAACATCAATTAAAATTATTAATATACTAAATTAATTGAACCAATTTGGATAAAATATTTATGGGACCATTCTGTAAGTATATCCTTCTAAATAGAAAAGATCTTCTAAATCCATTTGTAATTGACGGAGTTATGACGTAACAAACATAAATAAACTAAGAAATCGATTGAAAATTGTAATCTACATCATATTACTATCCTATTAGGTTCTGCAACAAGTGGTCCTTTCAGAAACTATAGTAGTTAATTCTTGGTTAATTTAATCACCTATCACCACTCACTAGTGCCCACCGACATATACCCGTAGCGTTACAATTTCAGTTTCATCCCATTAAAAATGTGCTCAACACGCAGGCCTGAATTTTACGATTGAGGATTACTCAATCGAAAAAATTCAGAGCGTCTATCAAATTGGCCATTGATTATTTTGGTAATTTTTATGGTGGGTATAGGCAATTTTTGCCACGTGAGCCCGGCATAGAATGAGCCACCCATTGTTTTACCGTGGCTGTCGTAAAAATCGACTAAAGGGAACTAAATGGTCAATGGATCAGCAGCAGCGTCCATCTTAAAACTTCACCAAAACTAACCGACGGTTACTAATAAAAATAATGAATGATCATCATTTAAGCTGTTAACTGTGCGCTGCTGAACATAAGCCTTCCCCATAAGGGGAGTTTTGCCAGTAGTTGCCACGCTTGGCAGGCGGATTGGCAACCACAATTAGGCTTTTAGAGATGTTTTAAGAGGGACGCTGCTACTCTCTATTTCTCCAGTTTCCCTCTTCACCAGAGGGAGACTTTGTACAAAAGTCATTGCTTGGGTACCTCTGTCCTATTCGTGTTTCAACCATAAAGCAGTTGTGTTTGCATGGCTGTGTTTCGGTTTGAAGGGTGGGATATGGCGTGAATTTACAGGGTACAGAGGAATAACACTTGAGTCATCACGAAATACTATTAAATCGCCTTTTATGACACCCACGGGAAAGGAAGGGGTGGTCCATTTTACACCGGGACCACACAGTCATGGCTTGATATGATGATGACGATAGGTAATTTACTTGTCAAATGACATTACATAAGTAACTCATATATACCGCAAGTTCTATAATATATTCCTAACAGTACTTTTATTTTATTCGGTAATATCCGTCTTTGATAACCGTAGCGTTGTTTTCGATAGGTATTATCAGTACAGTAAATAATTGAAAAACTTACTTAAGTTTTTCAATTATTCATACAAAGATAACACAGCACTGCATCTTCACGCTGAGTTCTTGGCGGGGTAGCCAGACATGACAACATACTTCTGTCGTTCTCTATTAATAAATTAAAATTGCATGCTACAAATGTAATTGTAATTCATATGGCAATACCTGGTTATACATATTTGTCTATATATTGGTTACATTGATATTTAATTTTGGACACTTAGTGGATTTTTTTAATCTAAATTCTGCAATTTCTCGAGACCTATATATTATGAAAGATATATTTAAAAATGGGGACATGTAGGCCGTGTCCACCCCAAAAATACCTGTTACCTACCCCACTATGCAAGCAGACTGGAAAAGAATTTTAAATACCTTAATGAATTGACTCCGAACTCCATAATTTCATTGCTACATACAGCAAAGGTGAAATATATTCCACTTATCAAACCAAAATACAGCCATACAAGTACATTTGCTTAGCAGTAAAAATACGAATAGGACAAATGTATCCAAGCAGACTTTTGTACGAAATCTCCTGATGATATTCTTTACCAGTTGCCAGTCAGTGGTTGTGTTGAAAAAAGAAAGGCAAAAATAACTCATGAGGGATATAATGTGTTAATTTATCGCTATAGCTAAATCATATTTTGGAATTACACAATACAGGCTTGCATGTCTTCTGTGTGATTCGTAGAATTAATCATTGATGTAAAAGTGTTATTATGGTATTGTTTATACAACATTTACTATAAAGAGAGGCGTCAACTTGTTTGCCATTTGAAAATCCAAAGTAGGTAGATATAAAAAAAGTTAAACGAGTCATTGTTTAAAATAAAAAAAAAAAGATTATACATTATACTATTAACAAGTGAATTACTTCTTCCAACGTATTTGGACGAGTATCTAAGTCTAACCGACCCTATAGACGTAATAAAGCAATGGTTTATGTAAGAGATTAATAGCGGAATAATACAGGACTGACAGTAGGATCGATTCTGAAGCACCATTGCACTAAACCTAATTCTTATACTAATATTTTAATTTTATAGTTTTACTGTTTTATAGACTATCATAATAATCATTTGATGATGATGATTATGATGAATAGAAGAAAAATTTCTATAATAAATAAATATTAAAAAATTAATCTTTAATTAACTTCTAACATATTTCAAATTTTAATTTTAGAGGTTGTTTTAGAGTATAATCTAATAAAATCTAATAAAATAGTTTAGAGAAATAAATCTCAGAATCGACCCCATTGTATTGTATTAAAGTACTGTTCATATCTATAAGCGACAATATTTTTTTAATAGGTGAAAATAGAATGGTATCCGCGCTTACACTATCGGTATACTCTGGCGGAGCACTAGTGAGTGATGATAAGGGAAGATAAAAGCAGGTCAGTTGGCTCATCGTAATAAATTCAGTAAGAATTAACTACGATGGTTTCCAGGAGGAACTTCGTGAAGGTTGACCTAATGGGGTATATTGCTAACAATGGATCTTTTAGACCCACTGCTAACACTCCCTATACCGCCTAAAAGCGACGATTACCTTTTTCCATCAGATCGACCCTCATATTGTTTGCTAATCCAAAAAATAGGGGGAGTAAATAAACTACTAATTCGACTAGGCTACGTCACACACGTGATTACACGTATGTACATTTATCAAAAAATAAATAAGCAGGGCAATTGTCGGAAGTGTAACAGCGACAATCTTCCGCGACCTTCGCAAACACACGCCGCCTTACAAACCATAGCCTTAGATAAACTCAAAGGGTATATATATAAAGAAAGTGTTTACGAATTCGTTATTTAGTTCAAAACAGCCACGCTAATTATTAAGCAAAATTACTAAATTTGTCACAGTAAAATGAGACATTACGCTTTAGTTCTGGCTGTATTTGTATTTGTTACAATTAATTGCGGCGACTGTTGGGTATTTAATAAACTAAATTACGAACAATTGGCAAGGGCAGCTGAGGATCCAGATGCAGATATATCTGACGATGAATTGAGAGATTTGAGATTAAGTTTAATATATCCAGGTCAGTGTTTTTATTTATAAGCCCAATCTTTTTACATGATCAGGAATATTGAAAAATATAAAATATAACGCTGACCTATTTTTAAACGGTTTTTATTAGTTATATATTTCTTAGTTTTTATTTGTAAGACCTAGTTCTTTTCCTTTTGCTTGTTGAGTATTTGTATTCCAGTTTTCTCTGGATTTATTGACTTATAAAGCTCGTTACATTTAATCTTGCACATTTGTTTTTAATGATTCCTATCGGTCTTCTCATCTTTTCTGTATGTTATTTAATAATACTATAATTAATTTAATATTAATTATAATTGTACATATTATTAAAACTTTATGATTTTGCATTTTGCTTAATAATTATATTACTTAATAACTCTAGAGGAAAAAATTATAATCTCCTATCAAGAAGTATTTCATCATCGTCGTCATTTCAACCATTATTTGTCAACTGCTGGGCATAGGCCTCCCCGATAGACTGCCATAAGGAACGGTCCTGAGGCACCTGCATCCACTGACTCCCTTACTACTTACTTACTTAAAGAAGTATTTGCAAGAAATTAATTAAAAAAGAGAGGTGTTAAAAGATATAGAGACATAAGCTATTGATATTTGGTTCTCTCTAGTTATCGTGTAGAGACATCGCCTGAAGATAGATAGATAGATATTCGTAAATAACTCTAACAGTGGAAATGCTTCGGGATACTGTTGAAACCGTTACTACGTTTTAAAGATGAAGACTTGAATAGCTCCTATTTTTATTTAAAGGTACAAAATGGTGTGGTGCAGGCAACATAGCCGATGACTACGATGATCTCGGCCCATCCGAGGAGACCGACAAGTGCTGTCGAACTCACGATAATTGTCCAGATCTCATAGAAGCTGGGGAGACAAAACACAACCTTACCAACACGGCGTTCTACACTCGGTCAGTAAATGCTAATATCATTAATTCGACCTCCATGATGCAATAGTGAATGCGTTGCTTTTCGTAAATGTGAGTTCGAATTCAATTCCCGATCAGGCCAATTTTTGAATTGGATCGGGTCCGTATATCTTGGATTATACTCCAAGGTGTTCTTTGCTTGATTACTTATAATAGAAAGGACTAGGCAATTGGTGCAATTATCTGACACTTATTACTATTATCATTACTCTGTTTTAATCTTATTTATTTGAAGTCGGTACAGTGTGATACTTCCACTGACTGTTTTAATCGTCATGCCTCAGCGCTCTATCATCTTTATTATCTCTGTCCTCTTTATCATCTTTCACATAATCCATCCACTTTTTATGTTCATATTGAATACCTTTTTTAAAACATGCGAGCATCATTAACAAAAGATGTAATTGTTAGGTTCAATACAATTTCAAAGAAATTTCATTCTATTAACGGCATATTATACAGATTGTGTCTATGGCTAGGGATTTCTGTATTACTACAATATGAGTTCTATGAAAATACCGAGAAAATTTGTTTTTATGAATAACCAATGGCAGGTGAAAGAATTGATATCGCAGGAATTCAAAAGCCTAATTGTTCATTCAATGTATAAATACTTAATTATATCAGTACTATCAGCGTTAACGACGTCACATAATCGACGTACGCCTTTCAAAACCTATAAACACTGCTGTTTACATATCTCAAACACCTAGAATCAACGCCAGTTGGCTGGACATCGTATAAGATCAAAATTAGTTGAGTTATACAGTAGCATATAAATCATGTACGCAAATTTGAGTTTAGTGCTTACCGTACCAAGAATTATTATATTATAAACATGCTCTCCGTAATGTTATTAACATCTCATTTCAAATTAATATGACACCACCCATTGGATGAACCACAGTCAGCGCCGTTTACCATTATTAATCAGGGGGAAAGGAAGTGTTAGCAATAGTATTTAACAACTCCATTGCTAGCAATATACCCTATCAGATTGATTTCCACGCAGTTTCCCTTGGAAATCATTGTGATTATTTTTTGTGAAATTTTCCTTTTGGTTCTTCATCCATCCATTATGTGCTGCCAGCGTATACCGTAAGTGCAGGCGGAGTTACCATTTCATTTTCACCCATAAAAACCTTGATTAGTCGATATCGAACAATCAGTGTCACTCATCTACGAATTTCTTTTCCCCCTGGACAGAATTGGGCTACGATTTTTCTTTAATAGTAAGTAATAACTAATAGTTTTTATTATCAGACTATAGTAAAATACCTAATGAAATTTTATTTATATCTAGTCTAAACTGCGATTGTGACGAGAAATTTCGAGATTGTCTACACAACGCAAACAGTACCACATCGAAGCGGATAGGCACAATTTATTTTAACGCTTTGGGCACACAGTGCTACAGAGAAGATTATCCGATTAAGTCGTGCAAGAAGAAAGGAGGGTAAGTTTGTTTGTTTTAAAAGTTTTTTTTATGCAACTTAGAATGGCAAACAAGCTAACGGTCTACCTGATGGAAAGTGTTCTGTTTCGTTTCATTCCTGAGGACTCTGCTGTTATTCCTCTGTACCCTCTAAATTCACTGCCATATCAAATCAGATCAAAGAAAATGCCTTTCAAATCGAAACACAGCCATGCGAACACAACTGCTTCACGGTAGAAACACGAATGGGACAGAGGTGCCCAAGCAAAATGGCTTTTGTACAAAGTTTCCCTCTGGTAAATGAAAATTATATTTTTACTCATCTATCATTTCAGATATAAATAGAATATATACATATAATAGATTGGGACCGAAGTTTTTTTTATATAGATTCAGTAGTTTAGTTTTTAAATCAAAGTAACTGGTTTTGCCACAATTTTTGTTGTTTATTTTTTTGTGAAACGCAATCCTAATGTGAAGGGAATTTTGGATGACATGATTTGGGATAAAGATTAAAAAAGTTGTATAACGGATGAGCCTTATGGAAATAATGAACTTTTTTTCTTTTCCTTCTATTGTTGTTATTTTTTAAACATAAATTAGATGCTATTGAATTTAATTTATGTTTTAACTACTTGAAAATGTTCAATGTGCAACACTAGCCCCTTGCCAATATTAAAAAAAAAAGATACCATAAACACGTTTCATTTGTTTTCAGATGGTTCAACCGAAAATGTGTAGAGTACGAATATGACACAAACGGAGACAAGCAATACCAATGGTTTGATGTTCCTAATTATTAAGTTTCAGTTTTCATATGTATTAAAATACTGTTTGTGAATAAATAACTGTACTCGTTTATATATATATAAAAATATTTGAATAGGTAATGGTGAACTTTATAAGTGTCGATACGGATTTCTCTAGAGTGTTTCAAAGATTTCTGTAATCACTTGTTCTTAGAAGAAACTACTTACACTTGAGTAACTTTTTTATTTATAAATATGAATGTAGCATAACTAAAAATCTTTATCATATTAAAAAAATTGTGTAAATATGATTATTTCAATATTTCTAAATGTAATGAAGGACATTTTAATAATAAAAACATACAACAAACAAAGTCGTCTGCATTGGTACTGTGTTGTTTTTTTTTTATTGGTAGAAAATGGAATAGTAACCCCACCTGCATTAACGAGATACGCTGGCGGGGCACCAGTGAGGTATGATAGGTGAGGATGAAACAGCAGACCAGTTAGCCCATCATGATGAATTCATCAGGAATTTATCATGATAGTTTCCAGGGGAACCGCGAGGAGGTCGACCTGGTTGGCTAGCAATGGGATTCTCAATCTCTATTACTAACAATCCCTTACCCCCCTGGTACTATGTTTAATTTCCTATTTTGCTAACAATCGACTGAATACGACCATGTGGCAGTAAAATTATTACTTACTACGTATGGAGCGCGGAGCGTAATGTAATGATATCCTTAATACAAGGTTATGGACATAAATCTTAAAACATTTCCTTAGACTATTACGAATACGAAGCCCGTAGTAGTTTTTATGTCTGTAGGCGATATTTTATTACCTTTAACTAGGTAGGTTTTCAGCTCGTTTCCCGTTTCAATAATATATAACAAAAATTCTATGTTACCTATTTTTCCTAGCTGAGTAACTTCCTCCTACGCTGTATTCCATTTTCAAAAGAGTAAACATAGGCATATTTCATTATTTTCTTAATGGATGATAATGGAATAGCAAACTCACCTGCGCTAATGGAATACGCTGGTAAAGCTCTGGAGGTTAGTAAGAGATGATAGGTGAAAATAAATAGATAGGTCAGTTGGCACATCGTGATAAACAGACCTTATTGAGCATGACGGTTTCCAGAGGGAAACACTGCAAGGTCTATTTGACATATTCATACTGATACTGCTAGCAATAAAACTGATAAAAAGACTTTCCGGTTTTCATATGCTGTTTATTATGGACATACTTGTCAATTATGGCACAGTAAATTATTTTGTACTGTATTATATGAAAAGCGTATGCGCATGGCTTGGCGCCGTGGCACGTGCCAAATGCCTTAGCTTGATTGCCGTGATCATTCTAGAAAAAAAAAACTTGCTCTTCAATATTTTAAACGGTTGTCAAAGAAAAAAAAAAAGAAAAGAATCATTGAAATACTAAAAAGATTCTAAAATAGATATGTAACTATTTATATTTTGACAATGTATTTTTAATCTTTTATATATTCGAAGTTTATTTTAAGCCTACTCGTAATTATGCGCGTTTTATCATACATCAAACAGGTACTAATACTTAATAGCTAGCCAGTATCGCCTTTTAAGGTATTCAGTTAAGGGGTATTATATTTTTTATGTAGAGTGTACAGATATCGTTTGTGTGTATGAATGTGTAAAAATACTTTAAATAAAGAAGCGGCATTTGTATTATTTATTTTCTTCATCAGCATATTTTTCCTTGGTACATTGTTAAAGATTTATCCATTATAGTGTTTGCCATAATTCATTATAATTATAAGTAATATACAACTCTTTATATTAAATTATGCACACATAAATGCACGATTAATATACATATTTTATATTATCTCGTATAAATAACCATACACGTAGTTATACATGTCGTGATAAAAGATATGGATACAGATTCATAACAATGTATAAACAAGTGAACAACTTGAACGGTGTTAGAAATAACTCTAGAATATCCATTAATTAATGATAGAAAAACTTCAAATACAGGTTATATAGGTAGATATGTAGCACAGTGCTTAGCTAATAATATTTGACCCCAGCGCACGCATGATTATGTACAACCAATGTTTAAATATATATATATTTATTAATATAATATAACGGACTAAATAGTGGGGTTATACATGTTACATACGATGGTTACAACTAGGAATCGCAAGCTAAATCTGGATATTTATATGTGAAAAGTTTAAATACACGAGAACGAGAATGTTGGATAGATACGAAGCATATAGAGGACTTAATAGAGAATCCCTTGTACGAAGTGAGCAATCTCGAAATAGCCTACAACCCAAGCGACCTTACCGTCAATATATACAACAACAACTTTAGAACATTAATAAATTATTTAGATTCAACGTCGCTCTGCAGGGCTAACCTTTTACAACTACGTCACGTTATAAATCACATTTGTCAAAATTTCCAATATGAGAGTAAACTTGATTAACTTCAATGAACCATTTTAATTGCAGTAGATACAAATAGTGTAACTTCTTAAACAAAAAAAAAAACTTTCATGCAAGCAGTCTTGTCGGTTCCTTATCATATAGAAAACTTTATTTTCTTTATACCTTTCACGAACCCTATATATTTAAACAAGATAGTTCAATCCCTTTCTCATTATGAGAAATAATGAATTACATTATCAGAATTGATAAGATTATTAAATAAACATGCTCAATATGAAAAATAAACAAAAAATTGGTGAATCGTAAATCATCAAATTCGGTCATGTAAATAGGTAGGTAACGATTTCAATTAATTTGGAAGTTTCTGAAATGTTAAGTAAGTATAAATTTTCTAAGTGATAAATGACGCAGTAGTTTATTATAATATTACAAGGATGATAAAGATGGTATCACGTCTACTATCACAGAATATTATTATTTCGAGAATATTTAAGGGACCAGGCATATAAATTCAATGCTCTTACATAACTCTTAAGTTATCAATTTTTAGCAGTTGACTTTATAAACGGGTAATGTCAAATTTTATTAGGCACCTATCTTTATTCATTACCACATTTAAGTACTTGCAATATGAAAATCCTGATTATTAATGTTATGAAGAATAGGTATATTATGTAGATACCTTATTACAATGTATTTGTAGCATTTATTTTAAAACTTAAACGAGTAGTTGCTAATTGTGGTTACCTAGATGACATTATTATAATCAATTCATTAAATATAGTTGAACACGATTGAATATTTTTGTAATGTAGATATACCGGCGGACAATTGAGATTAACAGAAATTATTATTGGTCAATAGGACGGTAACAATGGGACACAGTGCCTGTTAAATATCTTTATAATGAAATAGTTATAAAATGAACTTTGATTCATAATGTGAAATTAGAATATTTGTAGAAGTCTTTAAAGAGTAACTCACAACTAGCGATCGTAAACATAATTATAAGAAATCACAACAATACTATGCCGCACAAGGAGTGTGAAGTAATAATACTTGTAACTAGACAATAACTTTTATATATAATTTCATACCTATATATATGAAAAATGCAGTTCCAATGCAATAAAGTGTAAACAATTCACTCATAATCTAACCTAACAGACGGGCAAAAGTCCGAGAGATAGAAAACATCTGATACACAACTAATTTCAGGTGTTTAAACTCCAACTGTGGGTACTATCGAGACAGCACTAATACTTGAATATTCACTAGACTGTGCGTTTATTGAATTTTATATTATTTACAACATTCCCTATTTAATAAGTATTCTCATACTTGTGAATCGACCGGCCTACAAGTAGAAAATCTCAAAAAACACCATGATGGGAGCCCGCGTACAACCTTGGCGGAACTCCCAGAACAGTCGCAGCAATACTCCAAACCAGGTACCGAACTTGGATATGAGCCAGTTCGGAGAGTCGTTCACACTCGAAGAACTATCGGACGAGGGGCGACGACGAGGGGGGCTCGAGGCCCGCTCCGCCAACATTATTTGCCTCCGAGACCGAACTTCATGAAGATGAGCTCTTTGCCTTTGCTGAGAATGTCGCCTCCGGGGGCAGTCATTTCGGAAAACTTCTGCATGAGGTTTGGTTGGGAGGTGGGGACAGGCTGCGCGGCGGGGAGAGGCTGGGCGGCGGGCGCGGGCACCACAGCGGGGCCAGCGCGGCGCGCGGGCGACACGTTGGAGATGGCGGTGGACACGCCGGGCACGGCGGCCGCGCCGGCGCTGCCCAGCGGCGTGCCGACCGTGCCCGTGCCCGGCGACTGTACCGTAGGCGTGCCCGCGTTACCAGCGCTCGTGCGCGCGATCGTGCTCGCTGGCTGTGCGATCACCGCGCCTCTCGCCCTCGCCTGCACACCCAATACAGTCCACTCTAACGTGTGTCGATCAATTGTGATATGTTCTCCCGGTCCAAACACAATAATCATGTCTGAGATGGCATTATGCTATATTAAATCTCCTATATAAAAATACATCATAAAGACAAATTATCACATCTCAAAATTTTGTTGGACCAAGAAATAAAAATATCCGGATTTACAATAAAAATAATTAAGAGATAAAATAGAAAACATTTTTCTCTTCAGTAAAATACAACGTTCATCCCAAAAAATATATTTCTTAAATTAAAAAATCTTATCATCTCAGAATCAATATTTTCTGATTGATCATAATAACAAAAGTTTCTGATTGTACAAACAGTCAGAAACTTTTGTGTTAATAATATTCATCAATCAACTACAACAAAAGATATATACAATATTTATTCTCCGGATACTTTCTTTATAAGAATTTTTCAGCAGGCACTAGGAACAATGATGCTAAGAACAATAAATATAATTCTTAGCGAATACAATATTGACACAAAAATAAATTAATAAAATAGAATTTATCCATCTTATTATATTTGATTGATGTGGGTAATAATATTATTTTATGAATAAATACTTATAATAAATATACTTATATTGTTAATCTATTAATATATTTTAAGATGATAAAGTTAATAAAGTATAATGCAATTTATGCTATTTAGAAAGAAAACATGCCATAATATAAGTATAAAATACAAATAAAGTCGTTATAGAAAAAAACGTGTGCGATTAAAAAAAACATGCATCGCCATACATTAAAGCAGGTGAAAGAGATGTTAACACTGTTATAAATCATAGTTATCAAAAACCCATTGGTTACTCAGTCTTTAAACAGGCTTTTTGCTGAGGAATTTAATTCTTTAGAAAATGTTTAGCCTGAAATAGTCTTGTACATTTTCTGTACATTGATCATGCTTAAATAAACTACAACAAGAAGCATTCAAAGAATCATACTAATCGATTACATAACGAGCCATTCCATTCTGTAACCTGCGTTTATGTAATTATTTGATAAACTAATGTCTACGTCGTATTGTAATCTCTTAGTAATGACCACGTTCACAGGCCTCGGAAATATTGTATTTACATTATGGTGAATGGGTTATGGTATTCTGATGTGAGTGAAGTATACGCCAGTGTCTGTTCTGTTCTAGTCTCTGTATGATCTGGTCCGGCAAATGGTATGATAGCTAATGATGTGTACGAGGACAACAATGATCTCAATGAACTTCCGTAACAATCTAACGGACCAACTGAGCGCGTAGGGCCGTCTCTAACACCAGACGCCCTCAACTGTACACTGAGCGTAGTAATGAAACGCAAGGTAAAAATAGATAAATAAATGAAGTAAAAGAAACAGTGAAAACAATAAAATCTAAAGATATGAAGTGACAGTTTAACAAAAAAACGTCTAGTATCGTTGCATAGTATAGTTGAAACAGTATTGTTGTGGGTCGATTATAAACGGTATTTTACCTGAGAATTCGCCTGTTCTGGATTACTGGCGCATGTGTTGTGGTCTAACTGAGAAGGGGGAAGAGGGCAGGCATCTAGCAAACAGACAATACACACAACATATATAGTGACCACAGACAACCACTTGAATCTTGGATCACACCTCACGCGCACCGTGCGCTCTGTGTATAGCTATGTTGCGTGTATTTATTCAGACAAGCCTACCCATTGATGGAGGAAACGGGTGGAACTATGCCATGGTAGAGGAGTACGTAAACTAAATAAAAATAGGATAGAGAGGAGGACAGATAATGTAGATAAAAAAAATAGCACTTAGAATTATTGCTTAGGCGGAGGTCCTGAAAGATGCTTCTCAGATGTTATTGTTATTGTGTTATTTCAAACAGCTACAATTGTTATTACTTTAAGTATTTATATGATATATTCCTGTGAAGCCGTTACGATGTTTGTGACTGTGTAATCCAAGATAGTGTTATTAGCAAAGTGTACACCAAGAGTCTTTGTGCTCCGTAGATTGCAACCGGACTCGCATTTATTAAAATTACTGTCTAATATATAATCATGTTACTTTAGAAACCATAGCTCTAATAATGACAAAGGATTATGTTTTTAAGATGCTACAGTAGGCGGATATTTTTTAATTTTATTATTTATTATGAAAAAAATTACTAAAAATTTACTTTGCTACTAAAGTGGTAATAATACCACAAGTTAAATGGACATGGATAATCAAATGGTGTGTATATTTCTAAAATTACTTTCAAGATAGATGTTAGTAATATCAACGAAAATCTTAAATAATCAATATAAAATAGATTTTAGTTACTCCACTGTGTTTTACACTTAGCTAAACAGAGGAGAGTTTGGAGAGTACTAGCCAACGAATTAATGTACGGAATTTGAATATAAATTTAAATTTGAAAGTAGCATTATGAATGTGGATTACCAAATATCAGAAACTCGCCAAGCGAGTCCCGTCGCAATCTCAAAACCGTGTACAGGAAAGATGATAGAGGGTACCAGAGCGAAATAGCTAGCGTCTCTCAGTAGTCACATAGCAAGTCCAAGGTGCAAACATGAAACACTCAAAGCTCTCGGTGATCGGGACTCATCGTCACCGAACTTACCTAAACGGCCCGGGCCGACTGTTCTGGTAGCTTCAAACAATGAGAAAATAGAAACATGAAGTGAGACAACAAACAGAATTCAATCGTATCAGCTTTATAATTAACTATGTTTTTCCACATTTCTTTATTGTCAGTATAGAAGAGAATGTATACTTTATTTATTTATTGTATATGACTAAAATCCGATGTAGTGGCGCCTAAAATGCATGATATTTAATCAATGACTCCTAATTGATATCCTCATTTTTCTCACTGTTTACTCTTTACGCTACCTGAACAGACAACCCGGTCATTTTACATATATAATTTCATCTTTATAATTTTTTTATATTTTAATAAGTCTAACAGGGAAAGTAACTATGACAGCGAATATGGAAAGCCGATACGCGGCTCTACGAGGGCGGGTGGACGCACCTGCCTTTCGGTGGTGGTTGCGGGGCGCGGGCGCGACGTTGTCCCGCGGTGGCGGCGGGGGGCCCCGTGCGCCGGGCCCCGGCGCCGCGCCCGCGCTCCCGCCACGCCCGCGCCCCGCGCCCGCGCCCGCCAATGGCCCTCCCGCGCCCCTCGGGCCCGCAACGCCGCCCATGCCGCCCACGCCGCCCGCAACGCCTGCGTTTTACATTACATTCCTAGCAATGTTCTCAGCCGTTCTAACCCCGATGCCTTTTCATAGCGCTATTAATTTTTATTCTTTAAGGTATGATATTAAGTTCGTAGTACTGTATTTAAATTAGATTTTATATTTATTTCTATCTAAAAGAATATTTTAAGTAAATTTAAATCAAACCTAACACGGTCCTGGCCTAATGAGGATATTTATTTTAATTCAGATTGTCTCCGCTAATATGTTTCATAGGAGCACTGATTTTCTTTTAAACTGTATTTGTATATTTTTAGTATATTTTCTAAAAGCTATCCTCCAGGCCCAAGATTAAAACAAAGGGGTAAACAGCAAAGACAGAGATAAATCACAAGTTATAGGTAGGTATAATAGTAAAATGTGTACTCTGGACATGCAAGATAGGGTTCAATCAATTTGTAATCGAAGGATATCATGGTAGACATGAAATGGTTACATTAACAGTTACGAATAAGTTTCGCGTCAGTGCCGTAAATTTGACTAATCAAAAACTAATTTAATAGTTTTCCAAAATTGGGGTTCGAACCCAATGATAAATTCCGTCACTGTGGTCTCAGACAATCAGATATACTAACTATTAGTCAGTAGTTAGAATAACGATTTATTTATTTTGTATAATTTGTCATAAAACCATTACAATTTCCTTCGCCTTACATATTTCCAGCAACTTTACTATCATAAGTATTATCATCATCATTTCAGCCATTAACTATCCCCTGCTGAACATAATCCTTCCTCATAAAGGTAGTTTTGCCAATAAACCATGCTTGGCAAGCGGGTTGGCCACAGCAGTTAGGCTTTTAGAGATGTTTTAAAAGGGACACTGCTGCCCATCCCTCTACGATTTTAAGTTCCCTAAGTCGTCTCTTACGACACCCACATGGAAGGGGTGGCCTATTCTATGCCGAGACTACACAGCCATAAGTATCTTAACCTTGAAACCTTAATTGAAAAAGCAAATATTTTCTTGTCTTCTTAGTAGAAATAATACTATACATATTAATATGAAAGTCATTTAGATATTTACTATTTAAACAGCTAAATAGATTCGAAAGAAATTCGGTTTACAAATAGACTATAGTCTAATACAAACCACTTTTACTTTAACTTTACAGGGACAAAGACGCGATATACAACTAGATTGTAACAAGCAACAAACCTTGACTGGTCTGTCCGGCGGAGGCGTACTGATCATTTGCATCAGTAAGGAAGTTGCTCGGCACCAAGCCCCTGACGCCATCAATTTCGGCCATGTAAAACCCATCATCGTCCATATCGCCGTACACGTGAATGATCTGACCCGTCTGGAAACTCAGCTCGGCCTGCAATCGTTGCCTCTGCTTACAGTGGACTTATTGTAGAACAAAAACATTGCTTCAACAATGCAGTAGTTTTTAAAGTACTAATACTGCTACCAGAGGGAGACTTTGTATTATATAAAAGTCGATTGCTTGGGTACCTCTGTCCTATTCGTGTTTCAACCGTGCAGCAATTGTGTTTGCATGGCTGTGTTTCGGTTTGAAGGGTGGGATATAGCGTGAATTTATTGGGTACAGAGGAATAACACCTGAGTCCTCAGGAATGGCAACGCGTGGGACGTATCATGGGTGAAACAGTATACTCTGTTATGTCCATGGCACTGCTCATGTCTATAGGCGACGGTTACCACTTTCCATCAGATGGGCCGTCAGCTTGTTTGCCATTCTAAGTTGTATAAAAAAAATATGAATACAAAAACAAAATAAAGGTAATATTTAAAATGCAATCCGTTCTATTTTTATTATAAACTGACATTTTGTTCGCTACTTCGTACAGATGGATTTCAGAAGCAAGAAAATCAATAATCTAGCCCGCTTCTAAATGGCATGTCAAGGCAAAACATCAGATTTTAAGTAAGACCTTCAGAAATATATTTGTGAAAACTGCATCCAAATCAGTCCTGTAGTTTTTGCTTGATACCGGAACAAACATAGAGACAGACACAATTTTATTATATTATAATAGTAAACTAAGTTAACCCGACAGGTTGTGTTTTGTCTTTTATCATCATCTACTTGCGTTTTTCAAGTTTTGTCAAGTTTGAGCAAAAAAATACATATTTCAAACATACCATCGGAACTTAACGCGATGAAAAATTGAAGGTACCAGTATATTTTTATTGGCGATTTTTCGACGTGAATTGCACCACGTCGTAGTCATGGCAGGACTTACTTAGTCCTGTCGTGGCCACAACGAAAGCCTCGGTAATGTATTTAAAATATGCGTTAACAACGCGAAAGTTTAAAACAATAAAAAAGTACATTTTTACAAAATTTTATTTAAATCGGTTAAATATTTAGTATTAGAAATTAGCGCAAACAATCAAGGTATGGGATTTTTTTAATATTAAGATTGGAAATGGTAAACAAGCTAAGAGTTCTCATGATGAAAAGTGGGAATCTGTTGCCTAAAGATATTTTTTTTTTTTATACCACTGAGGTGGCAAACAAGCATACGGCCCACCTGATGGTAAGCGGTTACCGTAGCCTATGAACGCCTGCAATACCAGAGGTATTACGCGCGCGTTGCCGACCCTGAAGAAACCTCTTTACCCCCCTTTTGAAGAACCCCATGCTGTAGTCTCTCGGGAAAACCTCGGCAGGGAGCTCATTTCATAACCTGAGTGTTCGTGGGAGAAAGCATCTCTGAAACCGCGTTGTACGCGACCATTTAGGCTGTAAGGTATGAGGGTGAACTCCCTGCCGATGGCGAGCCGTACGATGATAGAAAGTGGCCGTAGGCATCATATTGAATAATTCCTCTGAGCACAATCCGTTGTATAAGCGGTAGAACACGCAGAGTGAGGCAAAATCTCTCCTAAGACTTAAGGGTTCGATACCGCTTGCAAGCATGGGATCATCGACAATTCTCATATATATATGAAACACCAGATTACTTAGCTGCTCTAACTAAAATTCAGTGGGCTACGTACTATGTAGCAGCAGTTATACAGTTCTGCGATATAAATACTCACATCAGCATCAACATTGGGACTCAGCTCCTGAGGATCGTAGTCATAAAGGGCGACCATTCTCCGTACAGGCTGCGTGGCATAGGCGTCGGTCCATCTGTCCCGTGGCTTAGCCGCTGTAGCTTGACCAGTTGCCTCTTGTTCAGAAACCTCCATTACCATGTTGTGAGGGACATATCCTCGGCGCCCGCGACATTCGCCCCAATAGAATCCATCGGCATCCTTGTCACCCCAAACCTATAGACAAAAATGGGGAAAATTACATTCAAGTGAAACAGCTTATAATCTGCCATTCTAATGACATGAAAACTTTTATGTAACAATTTCAGGACATAAAACATGGTAATTTACTAAGTAGCAATATTTGCATTTGTGGTCTATCCTACTATTAAATGTGCGAGAATTAAAAAAAAACAAATAAGAAGAAAATACAAACTTTGATAGTATCTCCTTCACTGAACGGTAACTCCTCGTCGCAACTTTCAGGGTTGGGGCTCATGGTGGCTGGGTCGTAGTCGAAAAGCGCTATGAAGTAGCGACTTCTTTTAGACTGCGGATGACCCTGTTGCGGATGGCGCGGGCCAGGCTGAGGACCACGAGGGCCAGATGGTGGGGCTCCACGTGGCCCGTACTGCATGGCACCCTGCTGGGTCTGTTGCTGTTATTTAATGGTTGACAGTTAATCTTTTAATTAAAATCTGTTATTTTCCACATTAATCAATGAATAAGAAAGTTAAGGAAAGCACCTGATGTGGGTTAGGAGGCCGTCCTCTCTCGTGATGGTTCCTCGGTGGTGGATTTTGGTACTGCTGCGGCTGGCTGGTGTACTGGGTTGGCTGGTTACTTTGAAACTGGCCGGCTTGTTGATAGGGGGGTTGCTGCGTGCCATGGTAGGCTTGTGTACTCGGGTACGGCTGACCCGATTGCTGCTGCGACGCTTGCGCTGGTTGGGACGGTTGCTGCTGACGTCCGTACGAACCAACACATTAATAAGGTTAGATTTTCCATAAAAAAGCCAACAGCAATTTAAAGCTCGAAGCCATATATTCCTCATTGGCGTTGCATAAAAGTAAGCGATAAAAATGTTACCTTTTCCTTGGATGTTAAATAAATAAGACATTCCGTTGTAGCTCTAGTCAACCCCCATGCACAACGAAAGCTAGCGTGCAGCGCTTACACTTGAAACCACATCATTCATAGCAGATAATTAATTATAACATTTGGTTCCAAAAGTGCTTGTCAGCAGTATACATAAGTAAACTAACTCATATATTAAATAATCTTCGAGAACCATTTCCAATATGCTATATATCCGAAAACTCTTCTGGGTCTTACCCTTAGCGACAAACGCTAAGAGATATTAGGTTTGGAAGGTGTGTGAGAGGAGTACTGAGTGTACGCGTCGAAGCCAAGACAACATGCAGGAACAATCATACAAACACGCGCTGTACATGCTCGAGTGATATGATTCTGTAGTATCGAGTGCTCTGTGGGGCCTGTTATTTTGGATTACCTATCACTTTGGATGGGAAACTTTACGTGAATATTATGTGCTTTACATTTCATCAAAACCCTGGACGTGTCAAAACGCGTGATCCCGTGTCGAGTGTGTAGCATCGAACATCAAGGACGGTACAGTAAGTGAAGATTACAACATATAGAACACCGAGAAATGAAAACTCGTGATTGGGAGAGAGTCCGCACAAAGTTGAGAGAAAGAGAGAGCATAGTGAATAGTGCTAGCACATAGAGAGCACATCGATGACAACTAGGAGAGATCGCAGACCTGCGGGCGGCGACGCGACGCATCCTCATCCTCGCTACCCAGCTCCGCCGCGCCCTCTTTAGTGATTTCGATGGCTGGTATTCCCGATTGCTACCACACGGTCAACATTTTAGCATAGAATAAATTTGTTTCTTTAAACAAGACAAAACAAAGTGAAATTATGGATGCGTTAATGGTCGATGCTCATGGCGTAATGGTGCTGAAATACACAGTCGCTGTCTGGTGAAATGATTTATTTTTGCTCCTGATTTTTCATGATTTTACCATTTTTACGTAACAATATTGATAAGCGAATAAAGATATCGTCATAGAATACGCAGGAAGCGGACGAGTCTATAATAAGCTAAATCAGAAGTGTAAAGTCAGTTCATGGATATATTGAGACCATAACACATAGTTACAGGCGCGTAGAGCAAGTGAAGCTGTGAAAGCTGAAGTGGAAACATGGAAATTCACTGCCGTGGAAGCATCTGAATGTATTCAACACTCTTTGTTGTCGTTCGTAGAGGCTTTAATGCGACTTCGTTGTTTCCATGTGTTTGAAAGTCAGTTTATAATGGATACGTGTAATGTTTGATGATATGTAAATGAGATAACGATGTATGAAATATTAATTTAGTGCCGATTTGTCGAATTATTCCCATTCTATATGATGACTGCAGCTATCACGGATATATAAGTTCTAACAAATAATCTATGACGATCAACACATTACCCGAAATCATCAGCAATTTTTCCATTAAGGTATATATTTCTATTACATGATTCTAACATAGTATATTCTAATTCTTCTATTTATACCTACATAAGAAAATGAAGTATCGATTATTAATTTAATCAGTGACAAGAATAATTATGCATAAATTTGCTAAACGACTTTTGCTACGATTAATTGTTTTCGTCTACTTTCATATAATATTATGTATAAGCATAAAGTAAATTATACTGTTTTCATATGCTGATTATATGACTACGTTAGTATATATAATCATTATAATATACTATTACATACTGGCACACTGTGTGAAATATAAGTCATGAAATAATAAAAATAAACTCATTACATAACTAATAACATAAACAAGTAACAATCTCAAAATAAACATAATCCATAAAATGCTAAATAAAACAGGTGTGTCATATATAATATGAGAAATAAAACAAAATATATTTGAAAAGACGTGTTAAAATTCCTTACCGAAGGGGTTATTTTGTCGAATATACTCTTTAGGAGGCCTGTGCCGAATCCACTCGTAGGCTATGGAAAGGTGTATAACAGTTATGTGAGAGCGAGGTAAGGTAAGACTAAGTGGAATGATACAACTCATGAGCTCCATGGACGTTATATTCTGTGTCACAAAGTACAAGCTCTTTATTTGTTTTAGGTAGTATATTATTGTAAGGTGTTGTGCATTGTTTGGGTATCGGCCAATAGCACTAGAGACTACTGATCTAGTCGCAAGCAGTATGCATTTAATTTTGAACGATCGAGCCGAGTGCATAGCTATTAATCGATGGCGCGGGTGGTCGTGTCGTGTTACTGTTCGGCAGAAACTACTAGACATTTAGAAGATGCCGCGACAGAACCACAGGAGATAGTATAAAGAGTGCAGTTTGCAACACCGATATCACGCGACAAACCATCTGTGGGCCAGGTACTTTTATTGGGCATACATATAATAATATTTTTAAAATTATACTTGTGAATCAAATATTGCAAGAAACTAAACAAAGAAAAGATGGCTTATCGCGCAAGAAGAGAGCATATGACACTGATCATTATAATGATAGCTAAGAAGACACAGACGAAGAATCATCAGATATAAAAATAAAATATGAAGCTCATAAATACTTAATCAACATCATAAAGAAATGTACTGGCGAAATGAAATTTGAAGTTACACACGAATTATACAACACTGATTTGCAAACCAAATGTATACAGAGTGCTGTGACGACCAACATTTAGTTAAATATTTTTTATAAATTATTTACTTAAATCTAATATATTTTAGAACATTCAATCCAATTAGCAAAATAATCAAAAATTATTATACTTCTTTCAATAATTAAAAAATCGTTCTTAAATTAGGTATTCCATTTCTGGACGTTACACTTTTATGAAGCTTTATGAAATATACGATAATGGGATTGATTCTTAAATGTTTACTAACACAAAAGAATCAAAACCATAACCCTTATAAAAACACATTAGGAAAAAAAGGGGTTGTCACCTGAGCAGCATGTTGGTCGTGACGATTACTTGTTGGAAATATTTCTTTATCAGATAAATTCTCATCATGTTCGATCACTTGCTGCTGGTGCTGATAAGGTTGGGGACGCTGTGGACCTCTGTATGGTACGCCTGTTTGATTAGGCATGGAATGAGGCCCTCGGGGTAACCTGGATGCTACTCCACGTAGCACTGCTGGTGGAATAGGTGTAGGTGCACTGTCACTAGATTGACTGTCCCGAGATTTTGTACGAACCTGAAAATAAATTAATATTTATGCGAAAAAATAGGAACTGGTTTAATTCTAGTTTCAATTAAGATGTTTATTGATTTAGAGCGATGATAATATCATGAACTTTGACATCATCATACGCTTCGAAAGCTAAGTATTTTGTTAAATATGAATGTACAGAAAAAAATTGTACATTATCAGAGACGTTATAGATTTTGTGAAAATATTGCCAAAACGTAGCATTCACATAGCCAAGTAAGCTCCATACAGCTATACTCACGGTGACACATTTAGGATTGAGGCCAATCAATTTGCCAATGTCGATGAGGGCGTGGTCACCGGTAGGCGAGTCAACGTCTGTCACCTTCTTCCCATCAGCATATACCGCATATCCAGTGACAGGACCAGAAGCTGGAGGGCGCAGGACCGGCTGCCAAGTGACCAGCAGCGTGCCATCTTGGGGTCCCGCTTCCACCTGCGACACCGCACCAATCACCACCAACAATCCAGCTAAACATCATGAGGCTAGCCAATTGGGTTTTGACAATATTTTATGTTTGATCAATGTGGAATCCACTAATAAGCCACATGGAGGGAAAAACTGACATCACAAAGACAGGGTTGCTAAGCTAGGGTGAGCATTGGGAAAAGTCAAGATAATTTTTCCTGGAGCTGGATTTATGGTTGCGATTGACGCGACTTCCTCAAATTTCGGTGGTGCTGTGTGCTTCGAGGTTGTGATATTATTTGAAAGGAACAGAAGTGTATCAGTATTGGTGAAAATAATATAATATCGTCCATCACACACTTTGTGAAGCGTTAAAAAGCTGACTTCAAGTGCGTGTGCTATATAGGCTTTCGCCGATTCGTAACTGGAGTCAAGTATTTTGTAATATATTTTTATTGCAATTATTGTCTGTCGGATGAAATATTATTTACATATAAAGTTTCAGCGAGCGAGGAATGTGAGTGTAAATGTAATAAGTTGGGTCATAAAGCATGCTTGGTTCGTTTCATGCTAATTTTAAAGGCGTGGTGTATTTGCATACCATAATTTCATTTGGTGGATCAGGTAATCCTTTCGGCAGGGTTCGGAAGTCTGTATATGCCCCTGGAGCTTCTTCTATGGGTATACCTGATGGAGGTCCAGCTCTCAAATGTTTTGCTCTTACCGTCACTCTGTACTGAGTACTTGGTGATAAACCAGTAATAGTATGGCGATATACTCCTGGTTTTACAGTTCGTACCTATAATAAAATACAAATAAATAGTATACACAATTATGAAGAACATATTATTATATTTATTCATATTATATTGTAGTACAACTTACTTCAACATTGTTAACACAGACGACATGCTGATGATTAGAGTTGGCAGGTAACCAAGAAATCACTGCCTGCGAACAAGTGACGCCTGTGGCTCTCACGCACGTCGGACCCATATTTGCAGTATCCCGTCCGATTACCATTGTACAAGCTGCATCCCGGGAGGTGCGCCGAGTAACAGTCACTGAACGGACGCTGATACGATGAGGCTTTGAAGAAATATGATGTATATTAGCCAAGTTCTAATTATTTTCGTTCACATACAGTTTTTGTAGCATATACCAAATGTAGGGGTCGGTAAACCTTTATCTAAAAGCGAACAGTGATAATGAACTAAATGCTTAATTGGTGCTCTTTAAGTATTGATGAAATCTAAGTAACATTGACAATTGGAAAAACTAATCAAATACTGAATAAAAAACTATGTAACTCACCCGATTGGAGTCGACTCCTTCGACCAAAGCACGAGTGCGCTCAGTAGCTTTGACGGTAGTCTTGAGTACTCCGTCGACGTAGACATGGTAGCTCTCGATATTGGCCTGCTGAACGCCTTCCGGCGCCGTCCAGCCAATCAGCACAGACTTGTTCAACTGCCTCTCCAGCGTGAGCTGCCGTGGCGCGGGCACTAGCGACGAGAAAAACAGCTCGGCTGTTCAGGTCCGAGGGTTGATCGCGTAGGAGTGCAGCCAGGCAGGCGAAGTGCGAGTGATATGCGAAGAAGCGTGCAGCGAAGTCCAGTAGGAACAGGATGAGGACAAAGGAAGGATAAAGGTTCAACTATAGATCTATTATTTCTACAGAAAACATGGCCAATGCATTTATTCTATATGCTAAACTTATCGAACTGTCATCGGTTGACGCAATGCCGTGACAAGCTTTATTTTAATATGATCAAATTAACAAGCATCTTTAAAGGGCGCATATAATGCATCTGGATCAACATGCGAAAGAAGGATGAGAAACATATAAATAGCCCTCCAATTGATAACCATTAACCAAGCGTCGTTAGATGACCCTCGAATTATCTATATTAGTGTAAGTAAATGAACTTTCACAAAATGTAATTATTCATTTCATATTATATTACAAAATATTACAATTTACATATTTAATAATAATAAACTATTATTTAATGACATTTGTTTGATTATTATAAGTCTCGGACTAGATTGAATAATTTTTTGCCCATCCTCCTTCAAACTTGAAAGGGAATTGTAAAAATGTGGAAATAATATATTTTTAAGTCATGAAATTGTATTAAAGCGTCTAATTTTGATATGTAGATACCTACTATAATAGAAGTCATCTATATGTAATAAATATTTATTTGTGAGCTTGTATTCGAGTGCTATACTTCGAAACTAGTGTCTTAGAAATAATTATGAATTGTTTCTATTAAAAAGTGAATAACTGAGGGACGCCTTACCATTGTCATCGTCTTCGGGTCCTTCGCTTATATCGGCCACTTCACTGAGACGTGCCACGTCGCGACTCAATGATAGGTCGCTGACCGCTGTAGTTGCAGACTCGTCCACGTCACGAAGGGTAGCTACAACTGCCTGTAATAGGATTATTTAGCTTATAAATATTAATAGATATATAGAACAAAATTAATAAAATATTTTAGTATTTTATGTACTATTCAGTCAAGTATGGATCTGAATGTTTCTATACACTTAAATGTCTTAATTTATTTAATCTTTGAAAAGGAATACTGCATTGTATTTACTATGTTTCATTACATATAAATAAAAGTAGGTTAAACTTAAGAATATTTTGTTCATAATTAAGAGCAGTATCAGTTCAAATAGTAATACCTAATAGCTACTGTAAAAACTTCTTTAAAGAACCGTTCCACTGTCTACTTTCTAGTATCTTGTTTACTATTCATTATGTATAGATAAATATATGACAAATACGAAAAATCAAGACCATCCGTTCAGTACATTTACACAAAAAACCCACGAAAATATTTTACAGGAATAAATGGGCGACATATTAAACATATTTATTACTCTATAGAACTAATTTGATTTCACTTTACGTGAAATCTTACTAGTACTATAATTACCTGATGAAACTCTAATAGATCTTCTCCAACCAATCTTTGAACAAAATTAGCAGGAACTAAGCCACGACGCCCATCTAATAATTCTGCGTCGAGCATAGAAGCATTGGGATCTGGCGGACCCCAAACCAACAAATAATCGCCAGCACAGATAGATAATTCTCCTTCGGCACTTTCAATCCTAAAAGTATCAATACATTTGCTCAGTTTTTATATTAAGTCACTTACGGTTTAATAACCTTAAGTCAGAATAGAAATTCTGACTTAAGATCATTGTGGCATTGATTTTCAAACAATTTGTCTCATATCATGTAATTGTAGGGAGACAGGCGAGACAGATATGTATGTATGTATGTATCATGTAATTCGTTAAATTTCTCCGTCAGACAGAATAGACATATTACCAACACATATTAACTATCTGAGCATGATAGTTAAAATGTTCAGTCAAGTCCAAAAAAATATTTTGTACAAAATTGTCTCTATGAGACATATTATATGCCAGACTGAAAGATAAAATGTGGCATTTTGACAATGAAAATTAAAGAATTGGATAATATGACTCAAGATATTCATAAACCACAAGTAGCGTCTCGCTATCAGGCGGATCGTACGTTTAATTGCCATGTATGTGGCAATATGTAAGAAAGAATAACTTGGATGCTAAATTTTATTTTTTATATTATAAGAATAATTGAACTTACTCAGGTGGGTCATACGAGAATCGTGCAATGTAAACACAACAGCGCCCTTTTCCTGGAATATCTAGCATGTCAACTTGACCTTCAGCTGGCGCACCTCCATTCATGTAATGTGTATTTCGAACTGTAAAAATAAAATAAATTCTGTTTTTAATATATGTTATTTAATATATAAATTATAACTTTATTATCTATCAAATGATCATATCATTAGATGAAATAAGCGCGTTTATTGTTTTTATTTTATTGTTACTCACCATCCATTTCCAATCCAGAATTTGGTAAGATCCTTGACAAAGCTCTTTGATTTCGATCGTGGCTAAATCCAGAATCCATGCCTCCTAGTCTATCAGGTCCAAATTGGCTATCTAATCCTAAGCTCCACGAAGGTTGATGCGGTGTTACAGGAGTTGCTACTCTACCTACTCCTGTAGTGGTCGTCCCAAATCTACCTATTCCGAGATCGATTTCGTCTAGAGGTTTTAATTTAATGTTCATAGTATTTGTTCCTAAGCCACTTGATAGTAGTGGATTTGTATAAGTACCAGTCGTTCCATATGCACTTGTACCGGTCAAGCTCGTATTCAGTGCACTAAGTTGAGTTGCGCCCGTGAGATTTCCCAGGGGATTAGATAAAGCTCCTGTTAATGTTGATTGAATTCCACCGAGTGTACTAGTCAGGCCTCCAGATAAACTAGTTTGCACGTTATTTAAGCAACCGCTAAGTCCACTTCCAGCCATAGTGCCCGTTAGTGTCGGACCAGTTAAAGCGCTGCCGAGACTCATGGCTGACATATTACCAGTAATATTTTGAAGGTTGCTCTGTAATCCTGCCAAGGTGTTAGAAATTTGACCAATATTATTAACTAGTGGCGCCGTCACGGGATTAGTGAAAGTAACTTGATGAGTGTTTGTTAAGTAGGAATTGGTGGAGTAAGCGGAAACGGGATTAGAGTAAGAAGTAGGATTATGCGCACTTATAGAATAGGCTACAGAGTTCGAGCTAGGGACTGTAAACTGCCCGGTAGCATGAAGCGAAGAAAGTGTGGGCATCGTGTTGCTTTGGCAAATGGCCACGTGGCCAGTCGTACTCGTGTACGAGTGTGGTAGTGGCGAAGGTGTCGGTGAATGGAACTCGCCCAGAGCTTGATTAGATCCACTGGATTGCATACCTGCAAAGAATAAAAAGGTATTAATTTTTTAAATGGAAACATACAAAGTAGTAAATAAATTAGAACAGTAGATTATGTGTTTACCATGCGTAGTAGATCTAGTATGTTCCAATTCAGCAAGAATACGATTATCCTGCTCGATCTTGGCCATTATGCGTTCTATTTCAGAGGCCGGTTGCGCAGGCGGCGCTGACCAACTCCCGCCTGAGGATGCACCACGAGCGCGCAGAGTAGCTGATAGCTCAAGTTGTAATTCCTCGCAACGAACGGTCTCCAATGCCGCCTGTGAGCAAGCAGGTAATTTCAATGTTATCTTCACGTTTACGTTTAACTAATAATGTAACTAGAGGATGCCTAAACATGATTGATGTGAGAGGCCTTAGTAAGAACAAGACAAGTCCATACCATAATTTTATAATTTTGGTCGGTCTGTCTGTTTGTTCGAGTATTGGGAAAAACTATTGCACTGAATTATATGCCATTTTTATAATCATATTCTTAAAGGTCTCATTTAAAATCTGATATATGTTTTATCTTGATACATCAGATGGAAGTGGTATCCACTTACCATCTACTTCCGACATTAATGCGTACAAAGTTGTAGGCAATAAAAAAAAAATTTAGTACTATTAAAAAACCAACCTTCTTTTCTAGCTCCCTAGCTCTAGATTGGAGCTGTTCGACGTTTAATGAGTCGAGGGGTGATCGCTGAGCGCTGCGCAATTGCGCGAGCGCATCGGCGTGAGCGCGTTCGGCATCTGCTCGTGCTCGTTCTGCTTCTCGTAGACGCCTCGTCAGCGAGTCAGTGTCTCCTCCGCCAGCCGACATCCCTCCACCCGGGCCTACGCCGTAACCGCTCATATTCTGAACAACATAATTTTTGCATTACTTTTATATATATATATATATATATATATATATATATTTTACATATTCATTTCTATACACTTTGGAATGGGACATAAATGATCTGATAACCAAACTGATGGAAAATACTAACAGTAGCCTACAGACATGAAGGACACCATGGATATAACATAATACTTTCAAGAAAGCCATCATGTGTTATTAACCTGAAAACTAATAATAATAATATCAGCCTTTAACTCACCACTGCTGAACATAAGCCTCTCCTCTTGGAGGTTTTGTCAGTAGCTGCCACGCTTTGCATGCGGATTGGCAACTGCAGTTAGGCTTTGGAGATGTTTTAAGAGGAACACCCACGGGAAAGGGTGACTAACACCATTGCTAGCAATAATTCTTATCAGGGTGACCTCTGCACTGTCCCCTCTGGATACCATATTTCTATAGTGAAATCGTCACAATGACGTAAATGATCTGACTTCTTCCTCATGTTATCCTCCTTACTGATACCCCGCTAGCGTTAGTATTAGCATAGGCAAGGGCACCTTTCTATTTTCACTAATTAAAAGGCACAAAACAAATCGAATCGATTCTCGTTTGGTACAATACAAAACAGTTGATGTAACTACGTATATTGACGTACCTATACATCTAAAATGAAATTAAACTTAGCACTAGCACTATTTTCTTTTCGCGTGTCGTTATATAGAAATAAAATTTTTACTGATACCACAGATAATATATTACTATACTAGTCTAATAATAATGGATATTTTTACTAACATAACGTATCATTACTCGGTCTTTGATTTTCACTCCTTTGAAACAGTAGTTCGTTTTAATAAATTATGATTGTTTCTATTTCTGGCGTGTAATACAAACTGCCATATCGACTTATTATATTAGCAAATGTCACATCCACTGTGTACCATTTACATACAGTATAAACTCTACCCACATTTCAAGTATTACACCTTTGACCGATAATCCGTTATTGGACTTAGCTATATAAAATTTAACGTACAATAGAAAACTTTCACCCATGAAACCAGTGTATGAATAATTTATCGATTTTATGGTAAATTCTAGTCGATAGCTGTTCGCCCTTCGTAGCATCGATTGACGTCATAGGCGATAAGGACTGATATAATATGCCCTAACCAGCCCTTGTGAACGTCCATTACCTACAGAGCTGTAGGCCTATCCACCTTAGATATAGATACATCCTGTCTACTATCCACAATCATGAACATAATATTGGCATGTTAAATAAAAATCTATTACGTACTTATATAACTAGTAAAAGTCAATGTGTTTAACCTCCTATTAAGATCCAGTTTCGCTAGTTATCGATAACTGCCTGATATCCGAATGCTATGATATCTTTTTTTATAAATCGATACCTACCTGTGTACTAATTCGTAGATTTAAGATAAGTATTTACGATCCCTTCTATTCTATAGACTAATTCATTACCTCTTTTAATTTGTTTTCAATAATTATCATAAATTACGTGTCAATTGGTTGAATTCTAAATTGTAGTTCGCCAAAGTGTAAGAAACAAACATACTCACTTTCACATTTATAATATTAGTAAAGATTGCGCAATGAATTAAAAAAATCGTACAAATGCAATTTTATATCATGTTATAATCGTAATCGCTTGATTAGGATCATAATATGATATATGATTAGAGACTGAGACTTTAGAGAAAAAAGAAGAAATTTGGTTAAAACAGCATGTATCTGGTTAGCTAGTTTGTAATATAATCGGGTACACTATGCCAAACATTACAAACTTATACCATAATGAAACTTTAGGGAGTCCCACGCGCGACACGTGCTCTGATTTTCTATAAGGAATATGTGAAATATTTTTCAAAGGGAACGATCCTCAAACACCTATAGGTAGAGAAAATACATTACTCAATATTTTACCTCACTTCCAAATCACTTATTTTGGGTTTTTTTACACAATTTTGATGTAAATATTTTCTTGTTACTATCTAACCTAACAAGCGTTGTTTTGTCCATATTCCAAATTTTTTTTTAATTTACATTAGTAAACATAAAAAAAAAATATACAGTATATTTCTAATTAATAACTAATTTTTACCAAAGACTGACCGCATACCTGGAGTATATTGATTGACCGGCATCAAACGTAGCCTATGTACTTCTTTATCTCAGATAGTAGATTGGACTATTATTATAATACTAAGAGATATCAAACAAATAACCAAAAGACTCCCTTTCACCTTTATAAGTAAAGATTGGTCATACCTATTTTATTTATAATAATTTTAAGCACCTATGTATACTAATTTGTTTAGACACTTTAAGAGAGGACTTAAGCTATATACAAATTACATTCAAAGTTAAAGCTATAGGTTTTCATACTCTCTTTAACAATGTACACTTGACAACAAAGCTATAGAGAAAATTAATGCTAGATTTTACTAATACCTACAAACACGCAACGACTGTGAGCGCCGCCGCTATGTCTCAAACCTCTCATAAGTTGAAATAGTACGCTGACCTGGTTGTTGGTACGCCTCCCTCTCTCTCGAGCTTGGCAGACTCTGTGGCGACGTTTCGACGTCTGAAATTAGGCATGGCGACTAGACAGATAAATTTATCCACGCAATTTTTCTTTTTAACCTTATTTTGTATCATATTAATATTGTGCTAAACCAATCATAATGTAATTTGGTATACACATACATAATGGATGGATGAATGCAGAAGGAAAAGAGAGAAAAAGAGAGAAATGCAGAAAGAAAAGAGAAGGTAAAAGCTAGTTAAATACGAGTATGAATAAACAATAGGTACCTACTGCATATTACCTAAGTACATACGTGTAAATCAAAATGTACAATCAACCATAATCTAAATGTTAACCCATTATATAAGTGGCTAATTAAAGCAAGCTTCATAATAGCTGCTTACTGATCTCGATTGATAAAAGATGTTTAATGGTATAATCGTATAATTTGATTGAGCACCTTTTATGGGACTACATCACGCACATAAATTTTACGACCTGACTGAAAGGAATTGTTTCCTAATCGGGTTCTTTATACCAAGTACTTTAGTAAGTCAATGCAATTTTCATAAATAGAAATATTTTACAATTTAGAAAAAAATATTATCAGTTTTTATGGCCTTATGGTCCCTGCATAGAATAGGACACCCCTTCCTTTCCCGTGGTTGTCGTAAGAAGCGACTAAGGCAGGGCTAGAGACGGGCAGCAGCGTCCCTTCTTAAAAGATCTTTAAAACCTAACTGCAGTTGCCAATCTGCTTGCCAAACGTGGAACCAACTAACAAACCCCCAAGGTGGAGGCTGATATGATAATGATGATGGAGTATCTACCTAAATTATTTTATCCAGGAAATATTAGCGCAATAGTCCTATATGTTCTCATGAAAGAATCTATAAAAATAAAAAATTAATTACCGAATATATTGTATGTAAGTGCATCATTTCAGAACGGCTGCATGTATTTGGCTATTTTTTTATTGTATTGTTGACTATTAGAACAAGATTTTTATGAAAGAAAGTGTTTTAAAAATTGTACGGAGAAGTGAAAATTTTCTTTATTAATACATTTATGCAAAGCTGTTGCGAGCAGTTTAGATACAATATAATTTACCAGGATAACGTTGTGGTTTCAATAATAAGAGTTTTAGAAGTAATTTAATTATAAGTAATTATAATATATAATAGTTAGCGGTCGAAATCGTTAGCAACCTTTTAAGGTAGTTACCTTGCAAGCCGTTCTTTTATTTGTTTATATTTATTATAATATTAATACCTACAGTTTAATGGTAAGTCACTAATTACAAGACTAACTGCTTTGTGGAGACATTTATATTAAGAAACTCTATTTAGAATCCTTTTAAGGGAGTATACTATCTGTGAAACTTTTCTTTTCACTAAAGAAACATGCGTCGAAAAATGAGATAAAGTTTTGAGTTAAATTATCATAGGAAGTTAAATTATTATTATCGGTTTTAAATTCTGAATTATTTTCTATATTTTATAACTTGGTTTATCTACTTAGTTATAGTTTTTTCAGGGCTCATGTTATTTTAAAAAGAATATTCAGTTTCGCTTGTAAAATACCACTAATATATAGGTATGTTAAAAATTTCGATTTTATATATTATTTTATATATTTGTACGCAGAGATTAAAAATACAGTAACTAAGAATCGCGCTGATAAATCTTATATAATATACAGATCTCACAACGATATTTTTAAATCAACGCATCGTCGTAAATTCTTGAAAATCTTCTTGATATGTTAGTGACTTATATCTAGGTACAGTTGTCTACACCACCTTTGAAATCTTAACCTTACTTCACATAGAAATAATTCTACTTTTCCATTTCTGTACACATATAAAGACAATAAAATATGTTTTAGTTTACCAACACCAATATTTACATACGTCATGTGCTTATATAATCACCTATAGACACGATATGGGTGATTTAATAAGCTATGAATAGATAATAACTTATACATTAGAGGAAATTATATTATGGCACGGCATGTAATGACAAACATTTGATTTTTTCCAAATATTTTTTTCTCTTATACATCCTCGGAAATTGCTTTTTTATTTTCATAAAATACGTCAGTCTTCTATTTTCAGCATGAAATAACACGTCCACAATTCTTTATACTACAAGGATGAAAATTGCTGAACAGTTTCTTTTTTTATATTTCGCAGTTTGTAGAGTAGGGTGCGCGATATTTTTTATTACTTCAGCCGTTGAAAGTTTACAATTGTTGTAACTATACAAACTGCATTATAACTTTATGTGAATATGAATTAAAAATATTACGTTCCTTGAATTAATTTGTTTATGGTTTCCTTGAACATTATAACCGGAATAATAGATTGGTCATCATAATTGGATGAATATAAATCTGCTAAGGGAAACGTCAAGCAAAAGCAAAATTACCTGAAATCCAAGCCTACTCATTC